ATAATGCAAATGTGGGCGTTCAATGGTGTGGGAAAGTGTTACAATCGGAGTTTAAATGTCTCAAAAAGCGGTTCAGATCTCCCTATAATGCCTATAGTATTGAGCAAAATGTGTTGTCAACTGTGGGAAAGCGCTGTTGTGCTGCAGCGCACTCCTGCCCTCTATTTGTTAGAATATACTCTGACATACCAATACTCCATAGGATAATACCTCTAATTTGTAAGCCAGCCCAGTATGCAGCAGCTATTCTGCGTAAGACGTCCGTGGTTGCATGTCATGTTTAAGATCCTACATTGTATAACCTTGGCCATATAGCTCAATTGGTAGAGCAGCTGGCATGTATCCAGAAGGTTCCAGGTTCAATCCCTGGTCTGGTCATTATCCAATTTTATCACTGTTGTGGCACACAAAAGGTGGGAATTTTATTTACCTTTTCACATTGTCATTTCAATACTATACCAAACCAAAGTAAAAACTCAAATGTGTTCAACCATTCAGGCTGCAAATAGGCCGGTCTTTCTCAGTACTTGTAAAGAAGGGCCTCTGTGCATTGGATTTGGTATATTTTCACTGTTATATTCTCCCTATATTGGTGCGCAAGAATTCTCCACCTGCTAAAACTATTATTTTAGATTTGTATTTGTTTGTATCATTTGTATTTTCATCTTTGCCACATATACTGAACTTGTATCATTGGCCTGGTTTTCAGGATTTTAATATCTAGGATTATATATTCTAAACGATGCAGTCATTTGATGGCCAGGGGCAGAGCTGCAATAAGTACTTCTTCTCCATCATCACCGCCTTCAAACTAAAAGAGTGACATTATTAAATTCATTTATGTTGGCATTATTTGATATTACTATTCACAATTTCTAGGCTACTTCTGAAAGGCCTTTGGCTCTAGTAGCATGCTCTGTAAGTGTTCATATCTTTTTTTAAATAAAACTAACAATCAATATTGTTTACCAGATTGAATGTGCTTTGCTAGGTGCTATCAACAATGCCACAATAGAATTCTTAGAGACAGCATTTTCTGCCAGGTATGTCACCTCAATCACTATAAATCTGTACTTATTATACTTTTACAAGGTGGGATCATCATATGAGGTTGCTGGAAATTTTTCAGAAATATTCTCCTACATACCTGGTGGCTGTAGTTGATGAGATTGATAAATATATTTGGTAAGAGCTTACTACATATTTATATTAAAACATTTTCTTAACCTCAAGTATTTTTGTAGGAATGGTTGTATAACAGTGGAGCAATCTGATGTTACAATACACAATTTTTGGACCTTTAATTTTCATTCTCCTGTTTAACCTTTTTCTGTAGTTTTCACACTGTGCCATGCGGCACTTTCCCCTTTGTTCAAACTCCTCTTTCTCGCGCTACGCTGCCTTTTCCTTATTTTTAGATACAACTCTCTCACGCAGTGGAGCTGGTCACACGTGTAAGGACCATTTTATTATTTTCTTATCTTCTCTATATCTTGGTTCTCAAACACTTTTCCCATTACACCTCTGGCTCTAGGGCTAGAGGTATCGTTTGCTATCTTACTTCTCATAGCCCTCACAGGCTTTCTTAACCACCGCTACCACTTTATATCACAGATCAGAGACTGGGTATCACTCCCAGCCAGCCAGCATAATGGGTAGGGACTGGTAGTAGGCATCTCGCCAACCAGCTCCAAGCCCCATTAAGGCCCGGATATACGAATAAACACTTTGATCCAGATCGTACCTCATCATGAGGATACGGTTCCTGAACACACGTAACAAACACCTATTATTAGTACAATTCTCTCACCCGCTGATTAATCATTCAAAGTCGTACGATAGTTGTTCCCTTTTTGTTATTGGACAATTTATTCCTCAGACCACTTTTCGTATATTCTCCTTTCGGTCTGAGGAACGGACGGTTAGCTATATAAAGCCTTACCTATTCATGTATAGTTCCTTAGTTTTCTATTACTTGATTTACCCGCTTTACTCCTCAGCCGAAACCCTTGAGTTTACTCCCAAGTCCTCTACTTGCTATATTTACTAGTGTCTGTCGACCTTAAAAGCTCATTGAACCCCTTACTCCCTGCAAGTGCAGTAAGAGACAGGTTTTGTTTTTGTTATAGTTTATTGTTGCCTCACAACACGGGCTGTGACCCTTGACATCATCAGCCACTGCCTCCATTAACTGTACAGTACACATGTACAAACAACCCTGTAGTAGTATATATACCCTAATAGATCAAGGAGACTCCTCAACAAGTCCTCCTGTTGTATCCTCACAACTAACCTGTTGAAACCTAAAGGGTAACCACTCCCTCATCATCCTCTCTATAGTTGGTTCTAGTTGTGCGCCAGAGTAACAAGCTCTTGGTTGTTACATCTGATGTTTCTGAGCTTATATTTGATTTTGATGCTTTAGAGGAAGCAGCAAAAGTGTCAAATTATTTTTATAAATATTACTGCTGCAGCGTTTTTAGAAACCAATATAATTTGCTTTATTAGTGCTTTTCTTAAATATGATGGAGTATGGATTGAGATAATTGCATTTAGAGTGAATTATAGTGAAAAATTGCAAAGTCATTTTTGTTTTAACGACTGTGCTATAAACCACTTTTTATGATATAGCAATACTCTAAACTAATATTTATTGATATTTATGCATTTAGAGTAGGAGACTGTGCAATAATCACACTTATAGATATAACAGATATTTCTGCTATTATAGCATATATGTTGCAATTTATTGCATTTATATCTAAGTCACGTTTTCCTGATGTGCTAGGACTATGAGAAGTAAGATGGCAAAGGATACCTCCAGCCCCAAAGCCAGAGGTGTAATGGGAAAGGTGTCTGAGAACCAAGATATGGAACGAAAGATAAGAAAATGTAAAATGGTCCTTACAAAGCCCCTCATGTGCAAGATATTGATTCCCAATCTCTGAGAGGAGTCAGCTCACAATGTCTCCGAGATATGAATACCTTAGCTGATTCTGCTTGCGGCTCTCAGAGAATCACGCCACCACCACTGCCTCCTCCTCCCCAAAGCAAAGCCAGATATACCAAGCTCAACAAGGTGGGCATGGATGTGGCCAAAATGGAAATTTTAAAGAAGGCCTTAAACCAAGCCGGAATGCCCACCTGGGATGTGCAAGGTTTGATCATCACAGCATGTCTTGACACTGACGCACACACGCACTCAATCCAAGGCAAGTATTCATGGTCCATAGCAAGGAAGAACCATCTTGCGCTCTTGCACAATATTGCCAAGTTGCTATCAAAAGGAGCTTCAGAGATTGGGTATGGCCTACACATTGACATCTGGTTTTAACAAATTGGAGATAGACCATTGCACTTGGGTTTCTTCTCAAATACTAAAGAAGCCAGAGTATTTCTTCATGAATCACGTAGAACTGGTAATTTTTTTTCACAGTTCAAATCCCAGTTTCACCGACTTGTCTATCTACTAAGATTCAATGGGTCAGTTGTTTGTCATTTTACACTTCAAGTTGGAGGTCTTCATTTCTGTGGTTCTTCATTTTGTGTGGCGCAGTGGTTATGCTCATCTCCTGGAACCCACCGCATCCCTCAAGTTTGCATTTGGAACTGTTGGGGCTTCTCTGACTTGCTGTTTAGAAGAGTATGTGGGTGGAGAAGACTACCATGAGGGATTTGCTATGGCAAAATTTGGTGAATTTTATGATTATATTCTACACATAGTTGATGATGTTATATTGAAAAACCTTCCTATTTGCACTTGATATGAAGCTCCGTTGAATCACCTTGTTACACAGGGTAACACTATATTTCACGAGGCCTCACATACAAACTTTTAGCGTGTTTTCTTGTACCATTCAATCTTGTTTTTGTGTAGACAGATAATACTAGTACAGTGTCTGACTATGCTGATTACGCTTGATAGTTATCCTAAGGCTTATTGTTATCTAAAACCGAAGGATTTCGTACTATTTGAATCCCAACGATCTTATCATTCGAAAATATATCCATTGCTGAAGATGTGTAAGGTAAGAATACTACAATTAGCTGTGACACAATGGATCGAGACTGGGACGCGCTGAATCGAGCCTATTCCCAAATGGCTCTGCTTTAAAGTCACTTGAGAGCTTTAAAGTCGCGTATAAAACTTAGATGTAGGCCGAACTGGTTGGCAGTGAGGGGATATTCAGATGGGCCGCTTTCACCTCGTCTTCAACTTATGCCCATCGCCGTCACAGGCTATGGAGTGTACCGCGGCTCCATTTACAGGTAGGTGGAGCGTGTTTAACGATCAGCGTATGCGAGGGTCCTCCGTGCTAGCGCTTCGATGTTCCCGATAGAACCGTACCTCGCTGTAGATCTCCGTTCGAATCACTGGCTAACCAGGGTGATAACGAGCTAAAACAAAGACTATCAGTGGAGGCCACGAATATAAGTAGTATATATTACCCAGTGTCCTGATAGGCCTTATCACCCTCCCACTAACAACGTTTCAGTCGATTTCATCTTGAAATTCAAATTTGCGGTCAAGGTCGGCAGACAAGGCAAGAAGCCCGATGATTGCCTCTAGAAATCTCCAAGGAACGCGGGAATGAGACGATTCAAAATTTGATGATGATAAGCCTTAAGTCGTTGAATACAAATTGTCTGAAACCGGGGCCGATGACGTGAAGCTTGATAAGTGCAGGTAAATGAAAATGGTAGAGCGATGGTACTTCAGTTTGCTTTAATATAGTATGCGGTGTGTAATTCGGAACCGTAGGTACGACTTGAAGCTGTCTACCTGCTTTGTCCAAGAGGAACATTGGGACATCATTCTTCCACCGCTGCAACAGGGTCAGTGCCCGAATGATGTGAGTCGTTGAAACTACACCTTAAACCACAATACAATCCTGATAACGAGGGTTATCATTGCAAAATAATATATATCAGTATATCAAAATACCGGACTTCCGTCCAAATGCTACTGTAGACGGTGGCAGATAGTGAGCGAGTGACAGTACCAAGACTAACACCCTGCTAAGGAAGAGGCTCTTCCTACTTCGCATCAGGGGGGCCCTTCCACACTCAATCACCCAAGCCTGTCACGGGTTTGAGTAATGCAACGCCCCACAGCCTCCATAACGAGTTTTGCAAATGGCTTGTTCAAAATGGTATCTACATGTGTTAGGTATCCAATAGGGCTGCTTTATAATAATCTAGGTGTTCTTGATGAGAGCGTATCTATTCTGTTTTCTCCGACTCTGCAGGAGTTTCAAAGTGGGCCACGTCGGCGATCTTTTGCTGCTGAGCATTGACAGCGCTAAGGTATGTGTCTGCCGATTTATGTCAATGTGAGACGGGATCAAAGCCAAGCAAACGGGAATGCTTACTCCAGAACAAGCTGACAACGCTGACTACTACGAAACGTAAATGATGAGGCACGATGGCGAAATTGATAATTTGCGTTGGTATGAAGACCGTCCTGGGAAGTGAGGGTTTAGTTTCAGTAAGCATTGACTGTCAGGTATGGATGGGCACGCCTTACCAGTTACGGATGAGCGTTGGTGTGTAAGCCTGAAAGGTGGAAGTAAGTACATCTTCAAAAGCAAAGCAAGGGCGGGTTACTTACAGAAGTGATTCGTTCTTGTGCGCCCGCAATACCTTTTCCTTCCATAATGCTCATGGAGCCGAAGAAGAATCCGACGGCAACTGCATAATACAAGTGGTCAAAAGGGCGAAATTACAAATAAGGATGCGTCAACGTACCAGGTGTCAGAACAGCTTGATCAAGCCAGACCTGTGGAAAGGATGAGTCATGGTCCCTGTGTCATAGGAAGTGCGAGGAAATAGGAATCTTACACGATAAATAACCGCTTTCGTGGGACTTGAAAACTTGATGCGATTCAGCATTTGGTACCACTTGGTCAGGGCGGGCCCAAAGGCGACTCCTGAAATGCAAGATGAGACAAAGATACTTCCACCCAATCGGGATGAAACGAGACGGACCTCCGTATAGAGTTAATCTCGCAGTACGCGCGAACTAGACGGAAGCACAGTTGTTATGTGAGTGAAAATTTTCCATGTAGGTGGTGCGGACATTAACCCACATCATGGTTTTTGCCTTGGCCTTCAATTGCTTGCTGAGCAATCACGTCCCCAGCTCCGAATAAGAAAGCTGCAGTCGCACTCTGGGTAAGCATAGGACGGCGAATTAGTGCAGCGCTGTGATAACCAAAACAGTGCTGTGAAATAAGTAGTCACAGACTTAAAAAAGACACGTACTTGTACAGTCTCAGTAAGGATGCCATTACAGATACTTTTGTGAGCTTGGGTGAGACTCGAAGTTGTTGAGATGCAAAGACTTCAAGTGGAAGAACACTTCGTGGGTAGATGCAAATTGAGCACGTCGGAATATGGGGAATCGGAATTCGGAATGTAAATACATTACTTACTATTTTTGGAAGTATTTCAAGCTCAGACTAGCCTCATGGTGTCACGTGCCTCCATAGTTCCCCAACGTGCACAATGCGAATTCTGGCAATGTGACGAACTGCTCTTGCTCGTCTCTGGACTACGTGGATTAGTTACGTTCTATGGCCTTTTCGTCGGGAATCTGGAATGAACATAACAAAGAAGGTTACCGAGTTTCTCGCAGGCAAAGTCGTATAGCCACCGTTCGCCGTTCGCACCATCCTGTGATGATCCTATAGCCCTTCGAGATATTGGGTATGCAAAACGATATGAGAGGAGAAATAGTCAACTGGCTTCGGTAAGAATTCCTGAAGATATTGAATATGTGGGACACTAAGGGATATGCGCGTATCGCTCACAGAACCCGGGATCACTGACTGGGCCGTCGTACCGCCCCTGAAAATTCCACAAGCAGCGGTCTTCTCAGCTTGGCGCGAACCTTTACTCGTCATGATATCCTGTCACGATCGCGATGGACATAAAGTGGGACTTATCGGGACCGACATTCATCTTGCTGCCTCGATGGCGGCCGTCGAGGTCAACCTACTTTATTTGCTTAATATACGTCCTACTTCTGGACTAGAGGGCTGTCAGGATTATTCAGCTCATCGTGCGTCGCGATATTGGTTGAGAGAAAGCCCGACGGAGAATGGCGGGATCACACACGACCGCCTGTGCTTGTGATGCTATCGCTTGCAAACAGTACCCCATATTAACGAAGTAATTCAAAAATGGTGTGCAAGGTATAATTCCATTCTTGTCCTTCCATCAAATCTTGTACGGTCGCACAGTGTGTGAAGGACCATGCCTATAGAATTACCGACAACCTCCGTCAACTCGTCCCTGGCTCTCACAGCCACAATACACTTTATCCCGCCCTTTATCCATAAGGTGTTGATTCGACATGATGTGTAGCCTAGTAGCAGCACACACAGGTTGCGCTTGCTTGAATTCATTCATGGCGTGAAGTTACATTGCGCGCCTCACGGAAGTATGGGATAAATCAGTTGTTTCTTGCTCTTGCCCCTCGTAACGAACGTCGGGTATTCGACAGTCCAAACTTGACCGCGGACTGATCAGTTGACACCATACAACTTATAGTCAAATATGGTGTGTGTTTTTCCAGCATCTATTTCTGATATTGTCTGATGCCGTAAACTTTGCTGTTATCAGGCAAACCACGAACCGCATCCCCATTGCCTCTTCGTCGAGTACCACTTTAGTAAATAGCGAGCCCATGCCTGTCGAGGTCTGAATTAGCGATGTCAAACCCACTTTGATGCCCTGACCGGTCTGTTCTTGCATTTCCGCAATTTGCAAAACAGCTTTGAAGCTTGACTCAATCACAGTCATGAATACCACACACCGTTTCTCATGTCATTCATCAAACTAAAAATGACACAAACAATGCAACGTCCATTCCATGCGCGTGTCCTAGTAACCTTCCTGGAAGGCACGCGTCCGTGGACGTTGCGCTGGTTGAATTCACTCCACACATTGAACACGAAGTTATCTAGAAGATCTTCGTATTCTTGAAAATCCCACCTTGCGGATAAAAATATGCAGATTGCTGCGAGTTGGCGCAGTTGGCGCTGGAATGTGACGAGTCACTATACTGTAGGTCTCTCACCGGTGAATCACCGGGCCGTCGGGGATGTCAGCCTTACCATGTCAAAAACATGGGTCTAGCGGGAGCGAAAGGATAAGCTCTGTTTATCCACAATCACGGAGTACAGACACGACCGATTGTACGTCGTGCGTAGTGTAGGATGGAACGAAGCCACTCTGCAGGTTTCACAAAAGGAGTTGAAGAAGCGCTGTTTACCGGTTATTGGCCTGTTCGCGCAAGGAGGTGAGAATAGTATCAACAGTGAGAACCTGGCATGTCGACCATCATTGTGCAAAGCGGAAGGCCTAGATTGATGAGTTCTTTGTTGCCAGTTAGTATTACAGGCTGCCTGTTGGCGTTATCATCACGTCTTTCTCGTTAATCTAGACGCTGGGTCTTGCTGCCGACGAGTGTTGATGTGAGGTTAATCACCGTGAGTGCTCGCAGTCTGGTTTGAGGTTGTAAGACCTGATACATCTTGTTACACGCATAAGGTGGACAATTCAACGCTGGGCGGGTATTCACGATAGATAAGCAGCATTCGCGTGATAAGATGGGAATTCACGTGTACCAATATCCACATCCTCCTTCTTGCAGCGAACAGGTACTACGCCACAGACAATATCAGAATACAATAGTGATCAACTGTCGACCTGTCGCCCCGGCGCATCTGTGTGGTCTCATATCAGATTGTCAGCGGTGCGTTTATCGCGCGTGACGAAAAGTCTGGACAGTAAAAGGCAATGCGTACCTACACGGGCAGACGTCAGTGGGAGTGGGGATGGCCGTTGCCGGAGAGGAGGCTCTCAAGGGTGCAGAGCTATCATATATATATCGAGGGGGCTGCCAATGTGATACATGTCAGTGTGATTTTGATGAAAGGGACATGCCTATTTATCTTTTACAGTTCTCTGCATGCGAAAAGGTACGTGCCTGAACAGCGTATCTTCCCTGTAAACTGGATGTTAGTATGATAAAGAGGATTTTTGGAGTGTTCTAACGCCACCCTGAGGTTTATGTGACTTCTCTCATAGAAGATATCATAGTCGTTACGTAAATGGAAGAATGAAGACCGTAAATTAATGCAATTCTCTCACCTGACCCAGTCACTCGAGGTTTGCCAGAGTCTTCTTACCTTGAACAGGCCCGGGAACGCTGACTTGTGGACATTCTATCTGGACACGTTTGAAGTGGTAATATTTCGCAGGACGGGTGCAGTGGTAAGGACGTGAGTGCCAGGTTTGTAGACCGTGCCGGCTGCGTTTACAGTTTTACCTCTCGATCGAGGCTGATCAATTCGTGTCCATATTCCTCCGCAAGGTCGGTACCAAACGGGCGGTTGTGCAGTGGGAACACAACGTATACGATGCAGCACGCGTTTGAGCACTTGTCCCTTCTCTCTTGATGGTCCCGGAGTCTGTACAAGAAAAGGTGTGATTTTCCGGTTTTAATGATTTGTCGTTTCCTCCTCGGAGACTCGCAAGATCGTCGGGAGCAGATCTTGTGGTGGGAATACCCACGGATTTTGTCCAATCAGTCCTAATCAGTCGGTTGATACCATCTTTGCAGGAGAACACTGCAGTCTCAGGCATATGAACCTTTCTGAGCACTGAAGATTAACGATGGCGGTTGTCACAACTTCCCATCAAACCGTGCGAGCATCCAAAGGCGTATCCCGCTCCAACTGAAAAAAAGGTTCGTGTTACGGACTGCTTCTGTTTTGCGAGTATAAATGAAGGGAGATACTTCTTTTCCCAATCTCTGCTCTTCCTCTTCCCCTGAACATAGCACCCTCCTGTCGCAGCTCTAGCGATTCACTATGTCGGCCAACTCTATCACCGAGAAAGATGGTCGGAATGACAGCTATTACGTTCAGGCTGCTAGCCCAGATACTCCTCCAGCACAACCAATGATGCAGCCCTATCAGCGGACGTATGGTAATCCTGTCAGTAGCTGTTGCTCTCTCTTCTGTGCCTATGACTGACAGTTTCTGACGATGTATAGGCACCTCTTGGGATGTTGGCTTATGGCACTGTCTTCCTCTGTTCATCCATCCTCACTCTCCATGCCGGCAACGTGACAACACCCAATCTTGTCCTCGTCTTTGCGACATTGTGAGTTGTTTCCCCCGTCTACATGAGGCTGTTGTATTCACCCGCTGCACAGCTACGGAGGTATATCACAAACATTGGTCGGCATGTGGGAAATGTTCCTTGGGTATGTTATCCCACTTTCTCTTTGATTCACCGTCCTGAGGTCGTTTCTTCGCAGTAACACTTTTAGCGCGTAAGTCAACACGAATTATCACCGTTTCTTAGTCTCACTAGCTTAACATGCGATTTTAGTACTGTCTTCACTACATACGGTGGTTTCAACTTTAGCTATGGTGCTCTGTACCTACCACAAATGGGTCTTGCGTACGTCTTCGTCGCTAGTCATGATGGTGAAGGAACTGACTTTCCACCAGGGCAGCATATACGGTTGATGGCGTGGTAGGCGAGGAATTCAGTCATGCCATTGGCATTTACCTTGGAATATGGGCGTGAGTCACATTCCTGGCGCAAGACAATTTTAGACTAACAGTCTCTATTTTAAGTTTGATCACTTTCGTTTTCTGGTAAGTAACGGATAATCTGTTTATCCTATTTCAAGGGTGCTAAGAAGTGTTACCAGCCTCGGGGCTATCCGAACAACTGCACCTATTGTAGTGACACTCTTCTTTACAGTGTGTGCCCTTAGCTGTCTGTCGGCAAGTTCCTTCACAGGTAGGACTTCTTTGTTCTTTTCATGAAACCTTGATAACTGAAAGATAACCTTGGTAGGAAACGCGCACCTGAACACGGCCGGTGGCGCATTGGGCATTGTGGCATCGTTTGGTGCTTACTATGGAGCGCTCTCGCTCTTCTGGACGCAGCAGACCACTTTCTCGTACATCCGTCTCCCTCCTCTCATCCTCGCGCCCTCCAACGTTTAAGATATGGGCCCTCTTTGCTGAGGTCCTCCCATGTACCGATTCCATTCTCTCACATTTCCTACATCTGGTACTATATGTTTCATTGCGAGAATACAGACGCAGATTAGAAAAAAATGCTGTAAAGATAGGGCAGAGGCCGACAGATTCTTTGTTGAGTCTGTTCGATGTATGTACTTGGGTGTGCTGCGGGCTCGGGCATGCCTATGATTTTTCGTAATAATAGTGAATGTGCTCTCCCATCATTGCAAATGGCTGATTGTAAGTTCAGATTGAGATGACGAAGTGAAGGTATTGTATCCGAGTCATTGTCCGGTTGCCGCGTTGTTCGAATGTTTCCATTTGCTATTACTATGGAATGGCCTTGGTGCTTGAGTTGCAAGTTGCAGTTATATCATCGCCATTGCAACAATTCTGGCGTAGCATATCGACATTGGAAGCAATTCTGTTGCCAGTGCGAATTTAAGAGCGAGAGGTCGATAAGCCACATTAGCCGCCTTTCTCCCACAATCACTGGTTCATTCTGTTTTCCTTCCACTTGCTTTGGGCTTTCGTCAAGAAATACGCGTTTTTCGGGATGAAGTTGCTGGTTTTCTTTAGTATCCATTAGACGACAATATCAGCAAAGCAAGAAGACCTTTAGAGTGAACAAAACACAATGCCTGAAGACCCATTTCAGCGTTCACCGTTTCCGAACCATTCCCGCATCCCGATTAATATCTCAACTCCCCAGTCTTCCCGGAGTGCACTTTCCAATGCGATATCCTTGCCGCAAATAACACTCGCCACGCATTCCCGTCGACCTTCAGGACATAGCACGCCAGTCCATGCTAGTCCAGTGTCTTCTACCTACACCATTTCCAATGGCTCCAATACACCTGCGTCCTCCATACCTTCTTTTCGTTCTCTTCGCAACCTTCTGTCTTTTCGGCCTAATCTACCTGCAAATGTCGAGGTAGCAAGTCCTAATCCTTCAAAACACTCTTTTGTCACCTTTGGGTCCATACGTCGTTCTATGACTGGAGAAAGGAAAGGTTCCGGAACTTTTCCCCGAGTAGAGGATTCAGAGGAGTATCCTGTCATTTCGATTGAGGCAAATACGAAGTTGGATGCGATGGACAGGGAGCATGGTTATCTGGTGAAACCAGGTCCTGACTTGGCTGAGTCACATTCGCCATCTCGCAACAGTAACAGCGATGATAACTACAGTGCGTTATTGTATGGTCTTTCTCTACGTTACTTGACGCGTTTTCATCTTAGGACAAATCCTTCCGACTCCATCTCCTGGACCACCACTTGGAACTGATCTTTCAACGATAATTGAAGCTGAGAATTCTGGTATTTCAAAGTATATACCACAACTGGATGAATCCCATGTACTTGAAAGCAGCCGGAGTTGTTCTCCAGTGTCCCCCTCTCGCCGAGTATTGGATGGACTGCATACACCCGACTCTAGGGATGCTTCTGCTCTTGACCTCTCTACTTCGAAGCTGACGGCCGAAGTCATGGATGCTCTAATGGTGAAGGACGTGGGTATGGCAACCGAGTGGCTAAATGGCGTGAACGGAATCGTCGTGGAGGAAGCTACTCCCATCCCTACCGACTTGATGGCAGTTGACGATAATGGACATGGCGGAAAAGAAGCTGATGCTACTTTCAACTTCGACGCTCTGGATCCCGATCTCGCAGCGCTCCTGAGCCCCAATCGTGTTCAAGGACGCACTGCGCCCTTCCACAGTTCTATTCCTGCTGTCCCACCACGATCACATTCCGTCACGCCCAGTCGAGGCGACAGTCCTCAGAAGTCCGCCTCTCAGATGCTCGATTCTTTCTCGTCGCCTGAAAAATCCCCTCGAAGCAGTAGAGATACATTTACATACCAACACCCATCGCCTCTCGTTAGCGCCCAATCATCTCCTGCAAGGCGCTCTGTATCGCTCTCAAGAGGTCCATCGTCACGGCAGAGTCCTTCGTCCCTTCCTCGGCTTATGCGCTCCGTGACGGGCGCTCCTGCCCCTCCAGATGTGGAACCAATGGAAAAGCCTGGAGCTGATGATAGTGTGCGTCACATTTCGTCGGCTGCGGTGAAACGACGACATCAGCCTCCCTCCCCCCTGTCATCGAATGGTTATTCCCCGGTTTCATCTAACAAGCCATATAACCTCGGCGAGTCTTCCGCCAGGAGACCCTTGCAGTCGCGGCTTGCGACGCCCAGTCGGCACGCCTCTTCATACACCCCTGCAACACGACCTTTCCGCACTCCCGATGCACCATCTTACCCTGTCCTGCCTGAAGCAGGATCTGTTTCGCCCCCATCTAGAGCCCCTTCATCTCTAAGTGCTGCCACCGATTCTCGGCGCCCCCACTATGCTCGTCCAAGTTTGGATATGAATGGCCAAACAGAGGTCAGCAAGAAAAGGCGCGCCCACCTGTTTTTCAATAGGAAAAGGAGCATGAGTGTGGAGGAAACGCGCCTCTCTCCACATTCTGTCTCTTCCTACGGTGCTCCACATGAAGTGCGACCGTCGTCGTCGCTGTCCAACAGGCCTCCCACTACGGAGTGGCTGGGGCCACGAACAGCGAAAGCTTTTGCTGCTGCTGGTTTGTTGGATCCCGAGCGGGACAGTCGAGAAGCACAGAGTGGGGGAGGAGCGTCTCGCTATGCTTCCATAAGGACGAGCAGTGAGCGAGAATCCAGATATACGCCTTCGAGGATGGCGCTATCGGAGGCCGGCTCCACTTCTTCATGGGGTAGAAATGGTAGCATTTCTCGAACAATGACACCGTCAGAGGCGGGAATGGCTTGGACTGGTAGCCCTACGTTCTCATCTACCCCTAGGACGACGTTTTCTGGTGGTTCAACGGCGCCTACCTCGATCTCAGTCTCGTCGTCTGCTCAGCAGGCTACGATTCAGCTGATGAAAGAGAAGCACGAGCTCGAGACGGAAGCACTGCTTTCCGCCCTATCTGACTCGCAACGCTCGAGCAAAATGCTACGTGAGGAGAACACGCAACTGCGAGAGCGCATTTGTGTTCTCGAAGACAGGGTGGGCGAGCTGTTAGAGCAGCTTCATCGGCCTGCGCCTACTCCACGACCACCACCGTCTTTCTCAAGGACCGTGTTCGATCAAACCATAGTCCATCCTCCCCACAAAGTACCTCAAAAGCCCCCGCTCCAGCGGCACTTCTCGCATCACTCGGCTCTGCCCGACACAAATACAAGACTTTTGCCCGAACGGCAGGGTCCGACCGGTTCTATGGGAGCTTCTCCCAACCCTTTCGATCCTGTCCCAAAGTCTCATCGGCGGCGAGGCAGTACAACGTCTTCTGTCTTTCCAAACCTACCCACCAATATGTCGATGTTGATGTTGGAAGACGGTGTATCAGAACGTGCGGGCGCGTTCTCATGTCGGTCTATCTCTCCGCCCTCGCCTACGCTCGCATTGCCCAAGCGAAGCGACAGTATGAGACACACCAACTCTAATCAGCAGTCCGTGTCGTCATCTACAGGGAACATTTCTCCTACCACGGCGAGTTTTTGCATGACGGAGATGACGGGCTCTCCTGGGAGTCTGCATCTTCGCCCTGAGCATGAACTGCATCTCGGGGATATGGCAAGTCTGGATCTGCGCAGTATGAGTGATGACGGTGAGGGCTTCGATTCGTGAACTTTTTTGGTTTTGATTTCGCCTTTTGTGTATTATTTTTTTTTGGGTTTCGTTCTTCATTGTTGGGCGTGTTATGGCAATTCGACTTGTCAACTTTTTTCCGCCTTCGCTTTCGCTCGTCTTGTTTTTTTTGGCACAACTGCTGCGCTACTTCGATTTCGTTTCCTCTCAATCATAACATGGTCTGAATGCACATACATACATACCACCCTGTATACCTTGAAAGTACTCTACTTTTTTCCATTCACACTCGCATAGCATACATACTTAATTAGCTTCTTAGCTTTCATCATCAACATAATGGCTACAAAATGAGAACATGTACTTTTTATAGCGTTCGGTGGACGACATTGAGAGGGGTCGCCCCTTGTCATAGCATAAACGATAGTGAGAACGCACTCCAACATAACACCTGCAAAACCGCAGCTGCACGTCTAGTGAATTATATATCGATCTATCGAAATTGCGTGGCTGATTAGCGTACAAGTGATGTATAGTGTTGAGACTGTTCATCCAGATGTGACACGATATTGCGTAAATCTATCCCAAGAGAAGTTGTGTAACTGTACTATAATGCAGGCGTCAAAGAAAACTTTATGAAGCGGCGAAAGGTGATTTCTGTCTCAGACGCGCTCCGATCCGATAGAATATAAAACTGTAAAAAAAGATATGTTTTGAACATCAGAGTGACGCTCATGGCTTAGTCGTTGAGATTCTGTACTTACGGAAGTGGGGCCATTAGCGTCGTGAGACCAGCCAGTAGCGCTGTTGCCCCAACTGTACCCAAGCGATCGTACATGGCCCCTGCGAACAGGGGAAACGCAGCGGCGAACGCGGATCGAAGGGCGCTATTGCTCGCCATCGCAGATGCCGCTATCGGGCGATAAGCAGTGACGAGGTAAGTGAACGTCGATGTGAACACGAAGTAGACCCCAGTTCCGAACGGGATAGACGCGATGATGGGGGCAATCCAGTGAACGTGCGGGTACGTGGTGAATGCGAGCCAGAATAGTCCTGTAGGCGGTGGTTTCGATCAGCATCAGAATTTTTTCAAGAAAAGATGTTTTTTGAGTGAGAGGTTTTATCGTTTGTGGATTATGGTTGTGGTTTGTGTGTGTGATGAGATGAGATGAGATGAAGGTGGAGCCTACCTATTGGGACCAGTATTCCTCCCACTTGGCCCATCAGAAGACGCATTTCTGGAGGCGGGTTACCATTGTTCTCCGCGGCAATGCGGGCGTACAATCTGCGATTTGTATTTTAGCGGGCGTAAATCAACAAAACGCTCATCTGAATGTTCACCTGTTCCAGAAGGGCTGAGAGGAGATACCGACGAGCATTCCAATTCCGATTCCAAGGAAGGTCAACCCGGTTGATTGGACATTGAATCCGTGATTGGTCTCGAAAATAATGGGAAAGGCTTGGAACGCTAGGTACAGGATCCCGAGTAATAGGGCATTCCTTTTAATTGCCGTTAAGCGCATGGGACCTGCTGAGAAGGGGAAAAACTGTACCATGTGTCTAAAAGCAATGCCATTCTGTCAAATAGGAGAAGTTCTGTGACAGAATGAGCGACGGCGTCATGCATGCCGCATCAGAAAATAGGTAAAACTTACGAAAAGGTTTATAGCAGCTAAACAAGATAGCAGAAAGTAAACTCCCATCGCGTCTATCTAGAGGTGCGTAGAATTTGGGGTCCCCCGTCAATTTCCGCATTCTGATAATTATGATGATGGTCAACAGAGATGCAATGATGATGATAGAGCTGTATATCCCACTTGCTTGCCTTTCTTTTCAGGATAACAGGTACGTAAGTTTCTGGAACCAACTGAGAGGACATCAGTACAGGAACACTGGATGGAAGCTCTACCGCAGCAACTAACTAATAACAAGGCGATGAGTTCACCGAATATCCAACACAATAATACACGATAAGTCCATCTCCAATCGATGTTCTATGATGTGGCTACATCAGTTGCAGCCTCAAAATTCTATTCACGTTCACTGACCTGATTTATGAAGCTATTAGAATGATAATGGCGTTTACGGGATAACTTTGTTAACGGACTGCTTGTTCGAGACAGGTTCGTGAGACATCTTACCCTCCGATTAACGGCCCGAGGACAGGACCAATGAAGGGTGATCTTGTCCAAATCTGTCAGAGCCATGCTCCTTACCAGCAGTCCTAAATTTACAGACGACTCACAGCGTGTAAACAGCCATGGGACTGTTGATAAGGGTTTAACCGTAGCTCTGAACAGGCAGAAACCGGGAGGCTTACGTTGCAACTGTGGCATTGGAAAACATGTCACTGACACTTCCGCCTGCTACACTCAAGAATGCTGCGCCACAGAGACCGGTGATGAATCGAAATACCAAGAAGACAGCTGCAATGGTGACCGGTGTATGTGAGACATTTTGATAATGATATTGTTGACATTCCGGATCTTACCTATGTCTGGCGCGAAAGCGATTGGAAACGAGAATATAAAGAAGAAAGCGTACGACATGCGGTAGACGACATTGCGACCTATTTGATTTGCCGAAAAGTGAATGATGAGCACCGCCTAAAGTGTATAGCTCTGGGACGCATACCATAAACCTCCGACAGAGGGCCAACTAACAATGGGCCAAGTCCCAAGCCGACGACAAACAAACTGATACCAAGGATAGTTACCTCATGAGAGACGCCAAAAGTCTGGGCAACACCGTCTTCTGTGAAAGCAGCCTGAATGAAGTATGTAAATGGACAGGGTTTGGAATAACGAATCCGATGCTCACAATGGAAGAAGCACAGGTAACACAAAGAGATGCCGAGCTGATCACGAGAACAGCAAGCCATCTCCTGCAGGAGGACATGTTCTGTGGATCGTCTGTCGGTTCAAGGAGGACTAGATAGGGATCCATAGCGTCTAATGGTGTTGGTATTTTTTCTTCCTTTGTCCCTTCAGCGGGATTAAAGGTGCCTGATGTGCGGGAAGACATGGACATCTGTATAAGTGGAAGATACGGGGTATAACCACAAGAGGCAACAGGTCTGGAGGGCCTTGGGAGAAGCAGAACTGTATCTTCGAAGACAGCATGCTTAAACGCTCTTTGCTTACTATTATACCGTCAAAGCCAGCTGACTAGCCTTGGGTATAATGTTCTTGCGCTCGCAAAATAGCCGATGTCTCCCCGGCAGCCACATTCGGCCTCCCCCGTCGCGTGCAGTGCTCCAGACGCGTTCGACGCTGCAAGAGACGACGAGCTCGCTGGAGGCTTGCCCAGAGATGTGTATCCCCATAGTCTCCCAACGTTTCATGGCGTGGCCATACAACTTGGAGGTGTGCAGTGCAGCCGGGTGCAAACAGGAATGACAGCTTTGATGTGGCCCAGTCATACGGAGTCTTCAAGGAAAATGATGGTTCGGTGATTCTGTGCTCGCGAAGACCCTCTGCCTCCTGAGACATGCAGAAATACGCAGCCTGACGCTAGGATCGAACAGAAAACATACAGGTTGCAGTACAAGGCTCCTCTTGTCCCCTTACGGCGTCTCTTTTGCAGGCAGTACTGCGGCCTAAACCTAAAGAGCAAACGTGTGAAGCTTAGAAAAGCTTTGTTGCCAACTGAATGCTGTCCACTCGCTGTCCACCGCAGCTCTTGTGCCCAGTACCCACCAATTTGCGCTACGTGCTCCAAATACAGTCCTTGAGTGTATGAGAAGCCCGACAGCCTTGACATATCTTGAAGGGTCCAAGACAGCATGTATGTTTTTGGATCTGACATCTCGAGCGGTGTCTCGTCGCCTTCGAGCACCCTTCCATCAATCCATCCATGCACTTGTCTCTTGACGTGGTAAGTCAGTCGCACGAGCTACCTGTTCTCGTCACCCTATGCACAGCTCATCAATAGCACCAACTCTCTCTCCATTTAGCGTCATTTTAGCTCAAAGTTTCACACTTGTCGTCAATGCACTTTGAGCTCGTGACGAAACGTGTACGAATCATTTTACTGACAGCGTACTGGCTTTCCAAGCAAGGTCCCTGCCAAGCACATGGCCCTCACCATCCAATGGCGATATTCCTGTCTTCCACAGCGGTCAGATCCATCTAGTCACCGAGTATACCCAGCATCGCGTCGTGCTGCATGCCCAGCTGCGCTAATGTATATTGGTCATCCTTTTAATCCCATATGTGCACGCCGTCGATCGTGCGGGCCCCTGTGGAACTAAGCGCGATACGGTATCGTTGTCTGGGACATGACTGATGCATAATCCGGCAATGCTAACAATCCAGCGCTGTCGTCGTCCACTGGCATGCCGTAGTCACCGCTCAGGGTCTTGAACAAGAACAGTCACATCTTTACTACAATTGTGTACCTCAGGTACTTCACTCACCTTACCAGCCAATGTAGGTCAATTTATCAGGCTTTCGCGACACGTTAGACCCGACTTCTCCGGACCTGGCCGAAAAATTCTAACCGTATTGCGGACGTGTTACCACAGGAAGAAGCATGCTGTCGCAAGACCGGCCTCTAAGTATGTCGCCAATATATTCGCGTGCTGTGATACCCCTCACGCCTCGTGCACTAATTTCGTTCTCTGGCAGTTCCCTTTTGGCAGTCGCGATGCAACACGATAGGTGATAATGGTGTCGATTTGCCTTTTCCTTTTGTTCCGGGTCGGCACATCCTCGCGATGATGGGAATACATTATTCTGGGGGCATCCACCTGACATTTCCAGCATTTGCAAACTCTCCCAGTATTTGGATTTAATGAACGGTGTCCTAAGTGATCACCTGCAACCCTAGTTCGCTACAATCTTTGCAATCTTTTGTGAAGGGACAAGACTATCATCATATTGGGAAACTTCGTAAATTATCGCCACTCAAAATTTCCAAAGTTCCATGCTGTTCGCTGCCCTATCAAATGGAAATTCTCCACCCCACGTTTCAACGTCTCTAGAACTTTCCTCCACCGCGGACCATAGGTCATTCACGGCATCCCTGGCACCTGTGAGATCGTTCGCGCGTCCACCTTCGACTTCTTCTTTACAGCTCTGCAATAGATAAGGGTAGGTCATGAGTCACTGAGGCATTTCGGAACTACAAATGTGACTTCACCTGGAGCGCTTGACTGATATCAGCATCAATAACGGCGAGTATATTTGACATGGACCCTTCTTGTTCCCATCGTAGGCCGACTGTGGCTCTGACGACAGACGCGAGGACCCCCAGACTCGCGAAGCCCATTCCAGCCCCGTACAGAGAGCGTGCGCTTGCAAGAACTTTATCGAGCTCAGGCGTGTGGACAGCCTCAAGGCCATTGGAGTCTGTGGCGAACAAACCATGGGCGTTTGCTATACGTTTTGCATTGGTTTGTCGGAGACGTGTTCGTGCCGCCGTCGTGAAAGCAGTTGCAAGACTGGGGGAGCCGGTGGCAATGAGACTCCTAATTATGGCACGCAAGCTAAAAGTTTCATGTGAGTGTCAACATGATGGTCAGTCGTGTTGAAGGAGACTTGCTCGTCCATAGTTGCGTTAGCTATGAGGGTATCGACCTGTCGCGGCGATATTTTGATCTTAGTTGGATAATTTTTCACATGTGTAGAATAAACGAACCATTAAATTACTGTAGAGCGTGTCAGCAATGAATGACATTGACAGCTGAGCTGGTTGCAGTTACTCACACGTGTCCCAGCGTTTTCATGCCGTTGTCGTTGTGCGGAATGGCTTCTGGGGCAGGCATCTGAGAGGAATGGTGAGTGAAGGGAGCTACGTGGAGGTGCAGTAAGCGGCAGTGTGGAATCTGAAGGTCTTTTTAATACTTGCAGTGCTCCATCTCGTTCTCGGTCATCAATAACTGCTGTGTACGGATTTGCAGAGCTATTTCAGGGGATCGGCTGATCATGATCTCAACCACAAGTCCGGTGCTGCATCGCACTGGTGATGATGATGATTTACATGTTGTTGTAAAGTACAACTACCGTCACGGTAATATTCTGTTCACCGACCATGATTTCAATTTCTCAATTTTCAATATTCGCTGTCAACTAATGCAATGCCATTCCAAACAGGTCGGACGTCACGGTTGGGGGTCGATATATGATGACCGGTATGTGCTTGGGCGCTTCATCCTGGCCTTGAGTGTAGCTGACATTCTGACGGAGTTTGATCACTAGCCATTAAAAAGCCTGACTTTACCAAGATTTCCCTCGCAATTTCTCGGCTTGCTATTCCTACCTATCATGTCTTACTTTGGACCCCCCTCGAGTGTTAAGGAGACGTTTGCACTGGGACCTTTCTTAGCGCCAAGAATTTGGACCGGCCTTTGGCAGCTTTCCAGCAATGCTTGGGGGAGTGCCCCCGCCGCCAGGATCCGTCAAGGGATGCTGCGTCACCTCACTTCGGGGTATACAGCTTTTGGTATGTACCCGCCCCTTCTGGAGATAGTCTATACATTACAAAACTTACCATGTGATTCTCGACAGATATGGTGGGCTATGACCTCACTTCCGATAGACCCCCCTACTAACCGATACCATCTTCCCCCGCCCACCAATGTGGCATTCCATCAGGGTAAAGTCCCCCCCCCCCCCTTCTTCGTTGCTTTCGTTGTCATGCTGAGCCTTCTGCAGCCGACCACTATGGGAGCGCGGAGATACTTTTCGTATGCAGAAATCCATACTGTCCTAAACTAAGCTAATGGCTTTATCTTAACTGCCTCAAGGGTCAATTCAGAGCCTCGCTACCAGCTCCGGAAGGGGTCATCGGAGCCACGAAGTGGTGTGTCTTCAGACCCACCGTGCCGTCCCGTGCCATCGTGGAAAGCGCAGTAAGAGAACGTATGCAGCGCATGCGGTCAACCAGCGTGGATCTCCTACAGGTTACAACAATGTTCCATTCATTTCCGACCGTCCGATAGCTTACGAATGCACTAGTTTCACTGGCAAGATTATTCGGATAAGGCCTATTTAACAGCCTTACAGATCTTGCAGGATTTACAGCACGAAGGCCTCATCTCCGCCGTGGGCTTGTGCAACTTTGACGCCATAAGGACGGACGAGATTTGTACTCAGCTGGGCCCAGGTTTCATTGTATCCAATCAGGTCCAGGTAAGGGACATCTAACACAAACTTTGAGATCGAATCAGGAACTCAGTGAAACGAACAGTTCTCGCTCATTGACACGCGCCCCCTGCATGGCATGGCGGATGTCTGCGAGAAACACAATGTCAAGCTCCTGACCTACGGTACCCTGGTGAGTTCTCTAATGATATGTTGACAGTGTAATCCGACAACTGTTATCGATAAAGTGCGGCGGCTTTTTGGCAGATAAATGGCTCCATCGCCCCGAACCTGACTTGTACTCCGGTGACCTAACTCCATCTCAGCGAAAGGTATGAAGCGGATTCCCATACTCCTTTGACAAATAATCCTCACGGTAAGAATTGGCAGTACCTTGATATGATCCTGAAGGCGTGGGGTGATTGGTCACTATTCCAAAACTTATTGGCTGTGCTGCGTGATATTGGTAACCGCCATGGGGGACTGGGCATTGCCAACATAGCCACCCGTTGGGTCCTTGATCATTCCTTTGTGGGGGCCGTGATCATAGGTACATGTGGCACAACGGTCGCTCTCTGTACGGAGACTAACATTGACCTCTAGGCGCCCGATTGGGCGTTTCCGAACACCCTGATGACAACCAGAAGGTATTTGGACTGAGGCTATTGGAGGAGGACAACCGTGCGATTGAGGAGGTACTAGCGCGCTCGAATGGACGTCGCATGATCACAACAATTGGTGACTGTGGAGCTGAGTACAGGTGAGATAGGGTGATGAACTTAAAGAACACTGTGCTAGTATAAGCTAGATCTTTACCCATTGTTATTCCGCGCTATAGACCATTATACACATTAGTACACCATCTTCATCAGGTGATCTGATCTCAGGAAGCTATAAAATACCCTCAGATTGACTCGTTGGAGATCTTCACATTCAAACTATGCAATTTTGAGGGAATTACGTGTCCATAAACGTTCGCCTCGGCGGGACCTTCAATTGTGTGCGAAGAAAAATGGCTGGACTGCGTCCCACCGACGCTCCCGGAAACCTTATCTGTGCTCACCAACAATTAAATCTTGTCATCTCAGTTGAACTGCCCGGTGAATTGAAATGATAAACCATGCCCTAGGCACCAGCGCCGTTAGTAAAAAGCCATCATATATGATACAGATCTAAGTGCAAAGATGTAAGTGTACAGTCCCTCTTGATAAATGCTGCCTTTTATAGCTTGCTGATAGAATTAGAATATGTTGTTATCATAGCTGACGATAACCGCTGAATAGGCTGTAGCTTGCGCTTGACGTCTCGAAGGATAGCTGTCTTTGGTTGCCAATCACGAAATGCATCTCGTAAGCGGACAAATTCGTCGGAGAAAAAGTGAGCGACTCTTTCATCCGCGATTAAGTCACGAAGCGCCCAAGGAATCTGAAGATGTCAATCATTAAAATATGAAGGACATTTGGAACAACAACTCCATACTTCATAATCATTTCTCTCGTTAAGTGCATTAAATGGTTCAAACTCCATCTCTGGCTGGTGTTCCATACCATTGTCAGCAAGAAACAAGTAATTTACCGCCAATCTGTAAACGTATGTCCAAATCGGGGCATAGCTGGTAGAACATGATGCTGGCTTACGAGTAGGTGGCTAATTCCTCATATGCCGTTGAATGTCCAACTCCATTGAGAGAGCCGGCGGTCGATTCCGAAAGATGGGCCAGAAGTCCGCTATCAGAAAGCCCTGAGTTCCTGAGACGGAGAAGGAGGACAAGAAGATTTGACAGGAAGTCGGACGAACTATCAATGAATAAATTATGCTAAGTCAGAAAAGGCTCGCGGCATCAGATGAGAGGACAAACTGGTAAGCATCTCCATCAATGTACATAGCTCGCAGGATCAATGGATGAGTAATGGAAGTAAATAAGCCTGAATACAAGCCAACAACTTGATCATTCAATGATGCCACGTAAACCATTTTAATCTGCCACAACATAAAAATAGATTAAACGATATCTAAGCCTGTTCGACTTTGACCTACCCCGTGGGACAATACATTTCCAAGAGATTTGACGTAATCTTGAGATGTTTGACTTTCCGTGTTCTAGTGAGTGAAACCAATAGTCAAAATGACCAAAATACTAAATCATACATTCATACCTGGAACTCAAACAACTCTCTAGCAGCTGTAGATTCAAAGTACTTTGGAAAATATGAAATTAGTTACGCGACAAAAATAGAAAGATTGATGAGAATTTACTTGGATATAAGGCTGTAGCAGTGAACTGGTACTGAGGTATCGCAGAGGACCGAGATGGACACCGCACAGCGCTAGACAGCAGATCCGCTGGGGCTGCTGAGAAGGAATGATGCCCACGCTACCCGAAGCAACTGGTCCGGCGGCATCTACTACATCAACATTGCGAGAAGTACGAATATGACGATCAATTATGAGGCGGTTCAACAGATGGGTTGAAACTATGCAACCCTGGGAGTGAGTTGCCACAAATATCACGTCAGCTTCCCGCAGGTCTTTCATCCAGTCCTCGTTCTGGATCAAGTTCTGATACAATCTAAACACCCAGCATGAATGTAGTTCTGTACTGAAGTGGAAAAGGCACCGACTTATCGACTCTTCGGCTTATAGTGCCTTCGCCCTCTAGAGGTATCTTGGTGATTTTGTGGAGCTTTACTTGATGTTTATCCTGAAACTCCTCCAAAGCCTGTACCATCATATTGACGAATTTCCCACTGGTACCTGTCGGCTACGACAGCGTAACGATAATCAATATCAGTCCTCTTATGCCGACTGAACAAAGCACGCATACCTCTCCGAGGACAGTTCTCATGACAGCACCTGGACGACAAGACCATCAGTCAGATGTTATCAGTGCTAAAGCAGTGACGCACCAGGAAACCATCCATGAACACCTATAACGACCACCTTGTTGCATCCTTTCAGAATATCAGGTTCTATCTTGCCCTCCAAAACATCCCACGCTCGTGGGAGTGCTTTTCCAAAATCACTTGCAAGCGTATCCTTCGCTTTACCCTTGCCTTTTTTCTGGGCATCATCCTCCCGAGCGAACAATACCCCACTAACATACTTGAATGTTTTCGTGAGGGCGGAAGCAGGTGGTGGAGGTACAGATGATCGCGGAGCAGTGTGAAAAGTATCCGTCCAAGTCGGCAGAACTAAGTTTGGTCGAGCGGGTGATACGGGTGCTTTCATACTCGACTTCTTGGAAGGTGTTGGAGAAGGTTGCCGTTTGACCAACTCGCGCTTCACAGATTCTGAATTTGCCAAGGGAGGATTCAGCGGCGATGTAGCATTATCGGCCTTCCTTACAGAAGAGGGTGGTGCAGATTGCTTGGCAGGACTATCAGAAATTTTCGCATCTTTGGCTGGTATGTCCTGTGGAAGAGGCTGTGTACCAGTTTCTGCTTGGCTATCTTCTTCATCTAAATTCATCACCTCCATCCCATTCTCGTCGGTCTCATTCGTTGTTATTCTTTTCGTTGTGAGCGCCTTAGACGAGAAAAAGGACATCCATCCTGACCTGTTTGTGGTGATTGTGGACTCAATGGGATTGTGCTCTTCGACGGCTCGAACAACATCTACCTGCTGACCCTGAGAAGGCGCTGGCACTTCAAGCACCGACTCATCTCCGCGAGAAAGCGTATCTTCTTTCAGCAAGTTTGATTCTGTATTCGCATCATCACCTTTAATAGGAACCGATGTTTTCGGAAATTTCTCCTCAGTTGCGGAAGCCGAAGTATTGTACCACGACCATGGTGTATACCACATGGTTCCCTGTGTGTGACTTGGATCTGTGGAATGACCAGGTAGAACTTCTCCGGAAGGATCCTGGCCTTCCGCGGCACCAATCGACGCGGCTTGGGCGGTCCCTGAGCTATTCTCAACATTGACCGTTGAGGTCGGACCATCCGCACTTTCGTCGTTAAGTGGTAGATTGTGCGACTCCTGCAAGGCATCGAGTCCTCCCAACATCTCCCCGTCCTTAGGGTCCAATTTCTCCTTAGGCCCCTCTTGACTGGATTCAGTTACAGAAGGATTTACTGGATCACTCCATCCCAAATAACCCCACCACGAGGACGCGCGAGGTGGAGCTTGTGGAGAATCTGTTGATTGATTTTCTGTCAAATCTCTCTCCAAGCTCGGGGGCTCTGGTATAGCTATGGTTGTATCACCCCCCGTCAATGGCTGCGCATTCGCATCTGAATCACTGCCGTGCTCCGGAATAGCTTCTACAGAGTTGGTATATTAGTGATAAATACGAACGTAATACACTTTTGTGGAACAAACCTGGTAATGGCGCAGCTGTCTGAGTAGCTTGAGTAATATCCACAGATCTTATATCCTCCCGCTGGGCAGCTGCCACAGCTTTTTCAAGCGGAATCTTTGGTCTACCAAGTAAAGGAATACTTAAAGTAAATCTGCTAGTTGTCGGATTTGAAGAGGTTATGGTTTCCTTTGTTACGTCTCCATTATGAAGAGTGGTGGAGGGGCGAGGGGGGAGTTTGACCGTTGGGAGCTTAGGCACTTCCTCGTCGACCGAAGAGGGTATTGACGTGATACTTGGTCTAGATCGTTGCAGAGGAGACGATGAATGAAATTGCGAAGAAGAAACCGATGGAATTGGAGAGGGCTGTTTGCCTGAAGAAATATTTTGCGGGTGAGGAGAACCCTGTGCTTCTCGCGATGAGGGCGCATCACGGGTAGATTCCTTGTCAGAAGACGAAGCGGGAGCGCAAGTAATATCTTTTGTTGAAGCTGTATGAGATACAGGGGTGTGAACATGTGCTTCTGTGGCCTCTGCTACGGGGACTTTATCCTTGTCTATCGATAAAGTATCGGTGTCCTTTGCCTTGGGCCGAGAAAACGCTCCAAACCAAGACGAAAATCCATTAGATGAAATTTGAGTGGGTGGTAGTTTATCTGATTGATTGATTGATGAAGGAATGTTAGGGGTAGTGACAGAAGAGACAGGTAGGGAAACTTCAGAGGTAATTGGTGGTAGTTGGGATAAATGCGCTGCACGAACTTCAGGAACGTCATCTAAAGGCTGCTCTGCTTTCGAGTGTGCATTCGAAGACGAGTGGCCTTTCGATTCATCGTGTGAGGGCTCTGCCTGGCCCAATGGGGCTGCGGATGAAACGTGTGTGTCGTCGACAACCTCTACTTGCTTTACGGATTCCTCGGTCGAGGATTCAGTGACTAGAGGGGCATGATCAACAAGATCATGCTTCGACATCAGACTGCCGTTGGATTCAGTAGCTCTGCGCAAAACTGGCGGTAGCCTAGCTGCTGCTGACTCCAAGCTAACACTTTGTACTGGCTCTGCAAAGACAAAAGATAATGTTGCTGGTGAGGATTTCTTCGACATGGGCTTTCTATTCCAAGGTGAATGCGCTGGACGACGACCAGAGATCATTGAAGGGAGTCAAACAGCATGAAGGAGTCCAAGCATCAAACTTGCACAAGACGGTGCTGCAGTAAGGAAAGCCATATACGTCAACACATCACGTGCTTTCTGGGCTGTTTCCGGCATTTCATACATGCCTTGCACTGAATAGCTGGCCACTGACAAGCGGTAGGCTACGGAGCACATCGTTTACATACCATAGTACATGTACAGACAGAGACGGGAAGGGGATATAGAAAATTATGAAAAATCTGTGCAATCGCACTTCAAAAAATACGCCAGTGAATCGAAGCACAAGGCCAAAAAGGCCAGCGGTCGCTCAATGAAATATATAACAGAACGTCCATCAACCCCGCAACTTACTCAGTGATCCTTACCGTGACATTGGACATACTTTGTCAAGTGTGATGGTAAGCTGATTGGTATGCCTTACGTATCTGACCTACCCTGATGACGGTACCTCCCATCGGGGTGTTCCATATAATCGTCGATAACCCTCGGCAGAGAGAGCGGGTAAATGACACTGGAGAAAGGCTGCATATAGGTCGTGGCAACAGTCTAGGTTCTAATCAACTTAGCTGAGGACTGCATCTTACAGAGCCTAGTTGATGCATGTCCAGATTAGCCTCATAAGGAACCCCTATCATAAAACGTTACGACCATCTGCACCCGTATTCAAATCACCACCGATAGAAGCATTCAACCGCTGTATAGTCTTGTAATCTTATACATATGGTGAATGTTAGTTCCTTCCACGATATGACATAACATCTTACCTACAGTTGTTCTTACTCGGCGGATCAGATGGTTGAGTTCCACTTCGAACTTGTAGACACGCTTTAGATACTGACACCCTTAATCAGCAGGAAATGCTTACCGGAATAGGCACAAGTCTGCGCCGGTGCAGTTACTGACAACTAGAAAACTGATTGAAGCGGACCCAATTCTCTGGGCCATAAAAAGCGCAGATTGTAACACTGCACATAACACCAGGATCAGAATGTCTAACTCGAACAGAAGCGGTACAGTCGAACGGCTAGCTGACTGACAAGCGCCTAAAATGCACAGTAATGTCAGTCACTGGCAACAATATGCCGAAGGCTATAAAGGCAAATCTGGGAAACTCACGCCGAAAAGCAGGTCGTAGCATCGGAACTAGCGAATTCAGTTTAGGTACAGCTGTTCTGTATACATGGACAGGGAGGGGTGACCGCATCATTCGTGAGCTCTTTTTAGAATCCTCAGGGTGAGAGACCTCAACCTCACGCAAAACTTTGACACCAGATAGGCATTTGATACATTGGCAGGACTATCGCAATACTTACAGAAGTTCCATTTGGAGGTAGTAGGGGCGCGCAAGATCAGCCGTGACTAAACGTCGTCCCTAGTAAAAGGATGGTCAGTAAAGAACATAGTGACAGGATACAACGAATTGCTTACCCTTTTTGTGCATACCATTAATCAGCAGTATCATCTTCTCCATGCATCCTAGTCTATATGAAATGAACAAGTGTGATTTATAAACTTAGAATGCAGTAGCTTACTCTACTGTTGTTATTGAGTGGGTTCGGAGGGATGTGGGTAAGGCCTATGTCCTTGTGCAAAGTTTCAACAAAAATATACGAGGCAGTACATTTCCATAGCGCTGTGTAAACCTAAGCTTTGACTCAGTAAAAGCACATTGCAGTTGGGCTTTAACCATATGCGAAAATGTTATCTGGCTTTACATCCATTATGGTCGGACCGGGATTTCAGCCGAGAACATTGCACCGCATATCTGATAGTGGCACCCTGTGAGTGCTGGGATGACAACGAAGTGGCGATCACAGTGCCTATCTATCCGTGGTCGCGAATCGAGGTATTGACGTGACCGCGCATATTGTTAGAAGGGCAGGAACGAGGATCTATTAACTGGCCCACAAACGATGGTGACACCTAGCCACCTAGTTGATGTCAATGACCTCCTACGTTGAATGACGCTGAGTGAATATCACACGAGAAAGCACTACAAGGAAGGGGGGCACACCATACAGCGCGTTTAAGTTTGCAGCTGCGGACAGTATAAGGAAGGGAATCGAGAACTTTGGAAAGCAGTGGCCCCTTGCTATACTAACTTGTAGTAGCGTTGGACTTCGCTAGTGGTAATGTACATCCCACAAGCCGGGAATGATTTGGCAGGCAGTTTGCCGGAATCGCATAATGCACGTTACAAGGTATACAGGGGAGGTCTTTCCAAAGCGACGATATGTCACGTGTGACTTTCATCCTGTGGACCATTTTGTAGCCTGTTGAAAATTAACGGCTGGCCAGGGCAACGTGAAAGATGGTTATTAATCCTGCGGGCATGGATTATATAGTAAATCGGGCACAAAAAAAAATAAGCGAAATGCATCCGAAAGCACCAATGATAATACGAACAAAATTCATGTGAACATGCTGGCCCAAGCGTTGCACCAGCTTTCGAAAACTCCAATCCGATTCATACAAGACGATCCCTGTAGATTAACGTCAAAATCCTGATGGGGAAATTGGGCTGCAGAAGCTGGAAACCCCAGAGTGTCGGACAGCTATCTGAGGGTAATGTTTGGAATTCGTGAAAAGCAACACAACAAAATAATCAGCAACGATTCCTTATGAGAGTAGAAACAGACAGGAGCACCATAAGTATATCGGAGGTCCACACTGTATGGACATGGAAAATACTGATTTGCCTGAGCTCAGCTCAAAAGTTGCCTGGGCAGAGTGAAGGCACTGTAGTATTTAAGCATTCCTGCTCGAGAAAAATAAAAATTACTGTCAGCTGTACCAGACTCTCGAGGGAGCGGTCGAGTTAGTAGCAGGTTTCGTGTGCCACTTGCCATGTCACCAAACTGTCGAACAAATGCAAGTTCTAGCGGAGACCAACCTGAACCTCGAAACTCGGTACGTAAACAATGTCGGAAAAATCTCTTACAGCCCTTGATTCAATTATATCATATCAGAAAAAAAAAACCCCCCATCAACTACAATGCTGTAGTCTTCGCCAGCAATTCATCAACCGCTCCATATACACGGCCAGTGGCCAGCCTCCCACTCACCATCATGATGTTGATGCTGGCGGTACAGTTTTCAGCGAAAACAAATATGCGTGTAGGACAAGTCTCCCCCCAATGCGTATTCCTTTCCACAAACCTGGCGACGGCATTCTCAGGCTATCCTTCCATTGTTCGTCACTTGGGCGAGCAACAACATCTTCGTCTCATTATTAGCCTCCTTCGACGGCGTATTATCTTCATATATCCTCTTGTCAGTGCAACTGCCATCCATAAACTGTGATATCGAGCAGAGAGGTCAGCGCAGGTCTCTGGGTATACACAGGTAAATGCTCACCACTCTGCTTTGGCTATTGCGATGCAGTGGTAAAGGAAAGACTGCATCTTGATCGCACCTGCACATCACACTGATGGAGGCGCGCAACCCGCTGGAGTCGTTACCTCAGAATCAACGATGCCCTTCAAGCGATCTGATATAACCTATGGGGAAATCAGGATTTAATCCCACCTGATTGCTTTCTACTCACCGAACAATTGGGTGGATTACGCAGATTCAATTGTTTCTGGTGCATCACTGCCCTCGCAACAGTTTTGCGTGTCTTCGCACGATCTCGTAGAACAACTCGAGAGAAGGTAATACGAGGTTCGCCGACGAAGTGTCAGTGATCACTGATATCTACCCCAATTCACACTACTAAGGTTTGTCCAACATCACTTGCATAGCCGGGTTATTATCTTGACCCTCTTTCTAGCGCAGCAACCTTCTTGGCTCTATCAAAGGCAACGGTACCAAACCAGTCACCGCTTTTACCTGTGTGGGAGTCACTATTAACAGCTGAGGGATAACGGGGTGCACCACACCGCTTATGATTCGAGTATATCCAAAGTCAAGCATGACATCCCAAGTGGCAATCTCGACAGATGGACAAGTCCTGAGAATAATCCCAGGTTAGTTATTTCTTTCCTTGTTACTATTATTTACGTACCAACTTCATTTGAATTAGTGGGCATGCATATGCGATGCACAAAGATAGTGTCTAAACGTTATGCATCAGTGACTAGCCTGGAACTTACATTCCCGAGTCATGGACGCTTGGCCTAATGTAAAAAAAAATGAAGCGCACAAGACGGATCCAAGGGACCTATCTAGGAGTTTTCGCCCTCTGTAACTTGATCGTTTCCCACAACTTATCCTACGACTCATACCGAGAAAATCACCTATCGCTGCAACTTTATTTCTACAACTCTCGCGTGGAATTTTTTGCTTTCGAGTAAGCAGGGACCACAAATCCTCCGAAGGTCTTTTGTGTTATCCTGACGTATTATTTTCTAGAGGAGTAGACACGATGAGCCATATCGATCCAACCATCCGATTGTCAAACCCAGCCGCTCATGTGGGAATCTTTGCGTTCCGCGTTGGAATCTTTGGATGATTTTAAGAGCGATAGATGATAGAATGCGATAGAAAGCTTTTTGGAAATCATACGCATGGGCTGGGCGAACGGCGGACGCGAATTCCACATGAATATCCCTACCAATGAAGGAATGTGTCCTGGAATGCCCTTACAGTTTTCCGCCATGGTGCAGCACCCTTAGGACAGGAGCTGCAGATTCCACACTACAAGGATTCATACGATTAAGACTGGTCGGCTGGCCTGCTTTGAAGACGGACGATCTTGTACTTCTTAGGTGAAGCTGGGGCTCCTCTATCCTGTGATGCATTCGAGTTCATTCAATAACAGTCTAGACTTTCCAATGTCGTAAATCACCTCGGACGACATCAAAAATGAAAGAAACTTACAGTCACCCAAATAATGCTCGAAGAAGCAGTTGTGATTGCTCGATGGCTTACAATAAAAGTCTTACGCAGTTTCTGATGGTACATTGGCGAGACAGTGCAGGCCGTCGACCATAAGTTCGTAACTTTGGACCAAAGCCAGTGATGATAAACCAGCGTGTGGGGTATCTTATTCCCGTCGAGAGGACGAAGAAATTGGGTATTTCAGCGATATAAAATATGCTTTGAGCGACTAGGGTGATAGTAGGTGACGTTTAGACATGATATTTTTTCTTCAGCAATCGTTCTGCTGTAGGACTAGAGTAAAACCATGATGAAATTCAATGAACTCCAATAACGAAATCATCAGTTTCAACTCCGCGCTTCGGCTTTGTCCGTGACACTCGGGTTGTTCATAACTACTCACACCACTTCTTCACGCCCATAAATCTTCATATTCAGGTGATAAATTCAATCGTAAGATATAAATGTAATTGAAGATGAATCGCTGAAGATATAATGAAAAATATGTACGACATTATATCATCGGACTATTATGATCACAATAACTAACCAGAAATCTAGAAATGCTGGAGCAGTAGGAATCTCTTCTGTACGAAAGCTATATATTGGCTTTATTCGCGTGGTACGGATCGAAAAGGACTCTGATACCAAGTTAAATGCGGGGGCGCCCACTAGCATATAGTCATATGTGGTTTCAAACCGGCGCACGAGGATGATTACAAGGGTCCTAGGTAGAAGCAGGTTGAAATCCGCTTACAGAGACCGCTAATGAGTCGAATGGACATGTCAAAATGATTTATTCCCTGTCAGCGTACTAGTGGGTCATGGCGCCTTTCAAGATACTCTTTCAGACCTCCTTCCCAAATTCATGGGTGGCTATTAGAGAGAAAGGTGAGATTTGGTTGGTAGTCTGCAGTGATTTTGAACTCTTATCCTGTCGTAGCATGTAAGCGTCTCAAAGTTTCCAATATGATCCACAAGGTCCTGCTAATCCACCTCAAGGCAACGGCTCTGACACTCTTTAACCTTTTTTTAAATTGCTGTCAAGATAGAGCAACTGCTTAGCATACTATAAGGGATGTTGCGAAGTAGTCAATCTATACATGCTCGCATGTGGTAGTGGCTTGCTGGATTTCTTCTAATTGTCTCGCTTGTGTTAGGACATAGCGGGTCATATCAATGTCTGAAAGGTGAGATAGATGCTATTTGGAATATCTATAGCGTCGACAAGCCGAGGAATGTGTATTGGAACGCGGGAGGAACGGTTCGCTAAGCTAAGCTGAATGATCTCAAGGCCCTCGTTAAAGCTTTCGTTCCCATAGCAGACGGATATTTGTTCGCCAGTCGGAGTGCAGACATCATTCTCGAATTCTCTGATCGTTATCTTGTCCTTCCCGAAGATATCCCGCTGTCCTCATTCACATCCACGCATTTTGGCCTCGGATATAAAGCTTTTCCAATTTCACATTCCTCAGCTTCGAAGGCCACAATGCGAACCAGATAACCAGATAATATAAAACCTTGTTATATTTGACACCTGTGATGTATATCATTCAACCTGAGGATCAATTTGGGGGACAACTGTCAAGAGATGTCTCTGGGTATTTCTCTGAGTGAAATTAGCAGACTTGGTAAAGTTTGAGCGATTTTAAATCTATGTACCCATAATTTAAATGGACTTGTCCACTGAAACGAAGAAAGAAACGAAACATGATGCAAATTGTATTGTGCGAGAGACATACTGCAACATTGAGTGAGCAAACCCGAAGACAAGACAAAACCCTCGAACACACTATTTTAAGGTAACAACATATACGAAGGCATCACTCAAGTTCATATTTTTGCCTTGCCAGAAAGAACATCGGTTCCTTTGTACATCAGCGTCGATGGAGCAAAACCAAAGCTATCTTGCAAAGTTATATCCTAGATAATACCGTGAGTATATTATATCGAAGACATATGGCAAGGGAACTAACCATTTCTCCAGCTATGACACGGACCTGAGTTTAAGGTGAGTTTAAATGTGAAATATGGATAGTTTTAAGGAACACACCATTGACCAATGATGAACGGCATGCAAACTCGCGAACCATAGCTAAGTTGGAAGATACAAATATGAGAAGTATAATCACAGAACGAACAATAAACCAAGTCACCTCTCTTCCAAATGTAGTTTCGAGTGTTTGCATGAAGGGAGTGACGGCGTTGAGAGTCATAGGTTGTTCCAGGCTGGTTTTAGGTACGATGTCCTCAAGTCGCGATATTGCATCTTTCAACGAGTCTCTTGCACTACCAAGACTTGTTTCCATGGGCGTATTGCGAGAACGAGTGTCATAGGATAGAATGTGAGGTTCTGGTTCAGCGATACAGTCGACGAGCAAAACGAAGTGGTCGCGAGCGTGCCGCAGATGTCTACCTGAAATGAGATAAAGTTATAATGAGAGAACCACAAAGCTGAGAAATCTCGTGATATTATACCTATTGTGGAACCAGGCAAAAATTTGGACTGAGTTGTGAGCTGGTCGTCGGTGGTGAGGACGTTCTCCACGAGGTCAACGGCTTGCTGCAGGACGGTGGTGGAGACAAACAAAAGCTGAGACAGAGGTGAGTCTTCACCGTTGTCTGAAGTACTGCCATTACTACGCTGTATGTGTTCTGAAGAGGAGACCATGGTAGTTAATGTTAATGGGGTAAAATTCTATCGTCGGTGATGATGATCCATCTCGTTCGGGACAGAGGGGTTTATTCGTACGTCACATTGTGACAACCGTGACACTCTAAAGCGAAATCCTGTATGGAGGACGACAACATATTTAAGCAGTGGTCGACGGCCTTCCTGACTTTGATTTAATACTAGCAGATAAGAAAATTTAAGACATGTAACAGGACAGGAGCGGCTAAGTCCGGCGTTAACAATAGCACTCGAATTTGTCGAAAACGGGTTCCTAGGCTGCTATAACTTATTGTAGCCTTCCTTCATCATAAAAGTAGGACAGCGCTGCTCGTAGTGGTGAATGCTATCAATATATCGTCCCAGATGTGTCTGTTACATTACCTTTCTCCCAGACAAACAACGCGAATTATCGAACGGAAACCCGGATGCTCAGAAAATCCCCATTTGTTGACATGATTGTTTAGAAATGAACTGTCGACTTGCAGAATATGTTTGAGATTATCCACAATCATATTCTCTATCTTTTTAAGCTCGAAACGCACGGGTTTGGCGATGCTTCTGTCGGCTACCAATGTGAGGGGCAGGGGATTTAGTATTCTCCTATAAGCAGACAACCTCAACGCAGATGGACGTCCGAACGTGGAGATAGAGATGTCATTCTAGAACAAGTACAAGGACGAGAATTAATATACTAGGTATTAAGATAAGTTACTTAGCACCGAAGGTTATGATTGTCCGCAAATACCAGTATCGCCGTAATAAATGGAGTGTTGTATAGAAAGTGCAAATTGTAACTGCCATCCATACGCCATGCCGATCTCGCGTAGAACTGATAAATATTATCCACGGTTATGTCGATAAGGATAAGGTGGGTAGGTGTAAGACTTGATCTTGATGACGAACGGATTTCCTTGCATTTAATCTATAGTACCAAAATCATTAGACTGACCCTAACAAATCAAGCACGCCGGCGACAGTGACAGGACAGCTGCAACTAACTACGCACACTGTTAGGAGGGAGTTCGTGTAACCTATCCAGCAGGATTTTTAGAAAAGCGAGCACGATCGCTTTAGAAAAGTTCATGTGCTTACATTTCGTCAGCATCGCAGTGGGGGCGCTGATGTAATACTGTCCGTGTTGCACGATGTACTTATTTCAATAGGAAGGACCTAGGATCGCATCAATATCCCAAGGCACAAAAATGAACGCTCACCAGGATAAAAATAGAGAGTGACAAGAAGCTACTTCACGTTCAGCTTGAAATCAAAGTCCCTGATAACCTGTACGGCTCACCAAGTGATCAGTCCCATGTTGACAGATACGACGATGATGTGCTGGGTGAGCGTCTCCGTTCTACACAAGGCATGACAATATCAAACTATTTTTATAGTGGTGTAGCGACAGTGTGGTTCCGTACCGTTTTATTCCCGTTCGTCCTTCGCGTAAATAAAAGACCACAGAGCCTGTGATGAGTATATCACAGACAAACCTTACCAATGCAGCACAAGCATAAAGCTAACATGAAAGTTTCTTAGATAAACACCTCGGGATGCCGATTTTAGATGACGAACCGGAGTGCTGTAAAGCACATTTACACCACTGGTTGCTCTGTATCGCATACAATCGACAAGTTCATCATTGAAAGGAAAGACGAACTTACCCGAGTGCAACGCACACTGTGCGTAACGATGTAAGTCTTGAATTATAACGACAAGCAATTGAATACTAACAGAGTCCCAGAACTGTGAATTACATCAGCAGAATTCCTGTTCCACTTTGATTTTTCAAAGATGCAACACTTACCGAGGCAGGTGCTGGACGTTAACAACTGCCCGGAAGTGAGTACATGAACTCCACCTGTACAAGTAAATGAAAAGACTTACTATGGCAGCTGTGAGTGGCCTGTTTCTGGCGCTAACTAGCTTAGATGTCAGATCACAAGGTGGTAGTTGTGGAAGCTGAAACTGACTTATCCAAACTCTGAGTGCATAGAAACTGAGGCTTTGTGACTACCATGATTGAACTAATCAGGTGGAACGTGACTTACCTCTGCACTGTGAATGTAGTGAAGTACTTTGTATGGCGGAAGTTTGACCTCTGAACGTGATAGGAGGCGATGGCAAGACAGGAAAACTTACGACGAGAAATCCAGCCAACTGATCGTCCCCTCAGTATCACTTATAGACAGCTACTAGATTATCAACTTACATTGAGTTGCCTACAAGTATATCACCATACTTCGTTAACTCGGAAGAGAGGGGTCCAGTGTGCAGACTTGCCAGGGTATATAGGGCGCTGGAAAATTATCGCGCCTGCCGTTGATGAGATATATGCTAGCTATGGAGACCGTGGTATAGGTGTGTACAGTATCCAGGACCCTTTTTTTGGGTCGGCATGTTATGATAAATAGAAGAGCGTAAGTGACTTCAAAAAATGGTGATGGTGGATATACGTACAAGATAGTTATGACCTGAAGATAGTCCAGTCTATCGCAAAGAGGAAGAATATAAAAGTGACTCACCAGGTACTTGATATACATGGCATCACGAGGGAAAGCACGCCAATAAAACCAGGATTGACCCAACGCGACCCCATATAAGCTACGCTCTTTCATGTCAGTATCCGTTTGGAGAGCGTTCTACGAGTTCTATGGCACCTTGACGCTATCATGCATCCTAAACGAGAGCGTAAGGCGAAACTGGTAGTCACCGTTCAGCTCAAATGATATCTTACCTATCAATTGAGGAGCCCACATTTGCCCGCCGCCATGGACGTCTGGAACCATGCCTGCCAGTATGGGTTCCACGTACATTAAACTGTCCTTTGGCATGACATTTGTAGTAACTGAGTCTGAGTGGGGAAATTGATTTGATGAAAGTAATTATCGGGTATTGACCGTGACTCCGACGAGGCTTGGCGATAAGAACTTGGGCCTGCCCTGCATGCAGGGTAGGCTTCATCTCACAATCTGATTGGAGTCTGGCATGGTATTTCAGCAGCAAATTCAGCTGGATATCATAGAGACAGGGTGGAAAAAATGAAACACGAACACAGAAAGAGTCTGCGTCGACCAAAAGTCCGCTATTTCGCTATTCAAGTTCTCACACCAGTGCTTGCAATCACAGTCGTTCCAGATACCATGTCTGTGTATCTGCCGGACATCATCTAGACCAGAAGATATCCAGGCATAATGTGGTTCTTCAGAACGGTCGATGATTACTACGGAAGAAAGCGGATTCAAAGCGTTCCCAGCGCTTCGAGTATACTTTGAGCGCCTAGTAGTGACAAAAGGGGCACAATCCAAGATGGTCAGCCTTCTCGCTATCGGGGCCTATCTCGGACTACAGTCGACGATCCACCATGTCATTCCATCCCAAAGACGGCCTGCGCAATGAGACACATACTAGGATTAAGCCAGAGCGCAAGCCTCGACCCATATCCACGTCAACCAGCGATGGCAAATCCATGGCTTTGCAAAAAGATCATGATAAGTTTAGGTTATTGATCATTGGCCAGTCTGGATGCGGGAAGACTACAATTCTGAAAAAGGTGAACAATGTGCATGTGTATGTGGGTATCATTAAAATCTATCTTAGGTGTGCGGCGAGGAAGTGCCAGTGTCAGTGGCGAAATCTAGTGGTACCAAACCAACCTCCCATCGCCAAAATTTTACACTGAGTTCATCCGTAATATCTGTTGATTTTCCAGAATGTGATATAATCTAATGTAAAATTTTAGCGTGGTGGTGTCAATGACATCCATAAGGAAAGGTCATTTAAGAATAATGATCTCTTTTTGGTTCATGAGTCCAAAGGTTTTGAAGTTGTACCCAAGCAAGAGTTTAACGCTCTTCAAAAGTTCATCGATTCTCGATGCCGTCCGGAGAGACCCAACGAGCACTTACACGCCATATGGTACGTCCACTCGTATTCTTTTCGCATTCATACGGACTTAAAATAGGTGTGAATATCAGGTATTGCCTATCGATGAATCCAAAGGAAATACCAAGAGCGGAAATGTTCTTTTCAAAGCCTCATCAAGGCAAGCTCTCCCAAATGGCGTATTACTGATTGAATGACAGGCGCTGCAGTCCCTGTTGTGGTTATCTTAACGAGGTTTGACTTATGTGTGCTGGAGGAACTCAATGATATAAAGAGTGCTGCCGATAATGAGGAAAAACTAAATCAATCAGCCACGGTAATCGCTAAAGAAAGGTTCAAGAAAAACTACGAAGCTTTGCTTATGCGGATGCCTCATCCACCTAAGGCTGTTGTGATGTTATCCAATGGTACGTGTATCAACATTATGGATACTCATAAGCTAATCATATCCAACCCAGCTCATGATAGTACTCCCAAAGATGATCGCTTCGCTGAATTGATTCAAGTCACTATATCATCGCTTCAAGGCGACATGATCACAAAGAGCGATCCCTTCACCCGATTACAAGCTCTCTTCATCAGAGCACAGAACGCAAATGTGAGCTCCAAGCGTCGTTTATCATTGCAGTAAGTATTCCTTTAAGATTTGAACCTAGCTTCGCTATTGACAATCAACTGGTTTTTATCATCCAGTTACGGGCTTCCATGTATGTGTCGCATTTATCTCTCCACATTAATCAGCATGTATACTTATCTACGCATTGCTGTTGGTAGTTGCTGTGTCAGGAAACGATGAGAAAGCTCTTCCATTAGACTTGAGACACAAGCTTATTGAAGTCTGGGGCTCCACCTGGCCTGTTGAAAAGGTCTGTGCACCTATCTTTATTTTCAGGTCATAACGTTGACTGTTCTCATCATGCTGTAACACCGGCACAGATTCTGTCGCTGTTCAAAAGATATGTTGAGGGGAAAAGACATATTGAGGATAACCCGCAGACAATTTCGTCTCTCGTTAGTTCCCACTTCACAAGGATGGATGCCACAGAGCGGAAGGCCTACCAATGCGCGCAGCTAGTAATAGGCATGTAACGATTTCTATATTTTTTTCCTCAGCTGAATTTGATATATGGACTATATCCACTCCGATTTAAGATTTGACACTCCTTATGCAACAGATTTTCCTTTCGAACGTCAAAGACGATCACGCACTTGAAGAAATTGTTAAAGAGTGTACTACTTCTACCAACCTCGAGTCTCTGCAGCGACAAATTATTGCAATCGACTGGAGTGCCCTTCCCCGCGAGTCAGACAAGATAGTAATGTCATCAATTCGGGGCAGGATGGAAGAGATTGTGAACCATTTATCATCTATCGAAGAGGATAAATTTAGGCTATTGATTATTGGCGAGCCTGAATGCGGAAAGAAGACAATCATCAGTGAGGTGAGAGCTGCGCTTATATCCTACGTATGTTTTTGAGTATTTACAGGCAATTTAGGTGTGCGGCGAGGAAGTGGTGAGATTCCCAATATATAGACCATACCATATACTAATTTTTTTTTTCGCTAGTCAAGTGAAGATGTGCGCGATATCGAGAAGGTACTGGAGCTGAAGTGCAACAAGTTCCTCCGGGTTCATGATACAGACAGTTTCAACGCGGGAAGAAAGCAAGAATTCAATACCGTTCAGAAGTTCATCGAGTCTCGAATCTGCAAGACGGAACTCAATGAGCGCTTGCACATGATTTGGTACGTCAATCTATCAATCTACAGGAGTCAATTGAACGAGCAACGTTTATGTCAGGTATTGCCTATCAACTAATGAAGAGGAAATAGAGAAAGGGCGATTATTTTTCTCGGTGCCACATGAAGGCAAGCTCTCTGAGATGACTTGATGGCTACTGATTCGAGGGATCTTCTAGTCCCTGTTGTGGTTATTTTCACCAAGTATAATATGCTTGTGGAAGACCAACTACAGTATTTATTGAAGAATGGAGACGAGGACGAGGATGACACAGAAGAGAAACTCGTGGAAGAAGCCAAGGCACTGGCAATCGCAAAGTTCTTCTTCTACAAATCTGTGCTGATGCAAATGCCCTACCCGCCGAAGGCCGTTGTGGCTGTATCTGATGGTATGTATGTTGACGCTATATACGATGGAAATGAAATACAGTTGGTACAGTACAAAACTCTACTCCGAGCGACACTCGCCTGGCAGAATTGATTGAGGCCACCGTATCCTCCCTCAAAGACGGCGTATCTGTTGACAGCGATAGTCCCAGCCGCTTAGAGACTCTCTTTATCAGGGCACAAATGGCCGATGCTAGTCATAAGCGTCGTTTATCGTTGTAGTGGGTATTCCTTTCAAACTGATATCAAGTTATTGACCATGACTACGCGTTTTATCATCCAGCTATGGACTTCCATGTTAGTATTCTTCTGCTCATTTTTTGTATACATTCACCATGATGCTCAACCTCATTTTTACTTACAGATGCAGTCTGGGAGAAAGCCGAGGAAGTCCTATCATCTGATTTACGGTGCAAACTTATCGAGGCTTGGGGTACTAGCTGGCCAGTGCAAACTGTATGTGTACCTATCCTGCTTTCTATTTCAGAACGCTAACATACAAAAATCTCATCATCGTGATGGTTCAATCACTGTTATAGATTATGTCGTTGTTCAAAACCTATATCGAGGATGACCCACGAACGATCGGAAACATAGGATCTCTTGCTCGTTCGGACATTACAAAAATGAGATCCATAGAGCGGAAGGCATGTAGGTGTGTGCAGCTGGTGGCAGGTATGCAATGGTTACTTGACTTCCTCATAATTCCTGCACATGATGTTTACCCATCTTGCTTCTAGATTTGACACTCCTGATGCAGCAGATTTTTGTTCAGAACGTCAGGGAGGACCACGTCCTCGAAGAAATATTCAAGCAGTATAATTCTTCCGAAATTTTTGAGTCTGTCCAGCGGCAAGCTATTGCAATAAATTGGAGCGCACTTCAGTCAAGTAGGACAAGAATAGTGATGTCGGAATATAATAGCAAGATTGAAGACATTGTGGACGACATTTCATCTGCTGAAGAAGATAGATTTAGGTTGTTGATCATCGGCAAGACCGGATGTGGCAAGACGACGATACTGAGCAAGGTGAGATATGTGTTTGTACATACGCGTGATGTCGAAATATCTCACATGTTTTAGGTGTGTGGCGAGGAAGTGGTAAGGTTCTTGTTGTCTACATGTGTGTATCAGAAATTAAGCTAGTCCCCTTCATCAGGCTGATAAACCGAGTGAATGCGTAAGTCCTTGTTGGATGCTCGGAAAGCTACTCACACTGATGTATGCTTTTAGCGCGGCGTCCATGATATCCATAGAGAGATGTCTTTCAAAGATAATCGTTTATTTTTGGTTCACGACTCCGAAGGTTTTGAAGCAGGACGCAAACATGAGTTCAATGTTGTTCAAAAGTTTATTGAGTCCCGATCCCGCAAGGAAAAACTCAACGAGCGCTTACACGCCATATGGCACGTCCTCTCATACCTTCCTCAAGTATATGAGCTGATTTTGATGATTATTCCAGGTATTGCCTAGTAACGAGCTCGAGGGCAATCCAACAAGCGGAAAAAATGTTCTTCTCTGTACCGCGCGATGGTGAGTTCTCTATCCGAGGTTGCTAGCTATCAATATTAATGACGGCACTTCAGTCCCTGTTGTGGCTATCTTTACCAAGTTTGACATATTCGTACAAGACCAATACGCGAGGTTATTGCAATCCGCTGGGGAGGCTGATGAAGACGACATGGAAGACGAGGACGACATGGAAGAAAGGCTAATGGCAGAAGCTCAGACAAGGGCAATCGCAACGTTTGAAGAACGTTACAAATCGGTACTGATGCAGATGCCTCACCCTCCGAAAGCCATTGTGGCTGTATCTGGTGGTCCGTATGCTAATTTATGTACATTCATAATCAGAAATGAACCACGATCGCTCTAGTACACGAGTCTACTCCGAAAACCAGTCGTCTAGCGGAACTGGTTGAGGCCACCATATCCTCGCTGAAAGTCGATGATCAGAGTCCCAAGAAGGATCCTCGTAGCCGCTTAGAAGCTCTCTTCGTCAGGGCTCAGATGTCAGAAGTGGGGCCGAAGCTTGAGTCATCGTTATAGTGCGTTGTTCCTATCAATTCCTTGACCTGTATGTTGATGATGATCAACCTAGTTATGGTCTCCCATGTGCGTCCTTCTTACATTTTCGAGTCTCGGTTACCTCATCCATGACAATAATCTCTAACAGATGATATCTATGAGAGGGAAAAACAAGTTCCTTCGCCATACTTTCGAAGAAGTCTTATTGAAGTTTGGGGCCCCAACTGGCCAGTGCAAACTGTTTGTGCTCAATACCACGCATTGTGCTTTTCAAATCTGACGCATGCACTTGATACTGTTCTGTTATAGATTATGATGGTATTCAAAACCCACATCGAAGATCAACCGCCAACGATTGGAAACCCAGGCTCTCTTACCTATCGGGATCCCAATAAGCTGAGACCCATGGAACAAAACGCTTGTCGATGTGTCCAATTGGTGGCGGGTACGCACGCTTCCCTTTCTCGTTTCTTCAAGAAACTGATTATATGTATTTCATTTGTATCCAGACTTGGTTCTCATCATGGAACAAGTCTTCCTTTATACAATCGTAGACAAACTTCCTCTTGAAGAACTTTGCAAGGCGTACCTCCGCTCTGCGGCTTATGCATTTGTGCAGCGCGAAGTGGTCGCGATTGATTGGCGTGCATGCCGTGATGAATCGGACAAGACGAGAATGATGACCTGGAGAACCTACAGGCCACTAAAAACTATCTTGGACCGTTGTCGAAAGGAGTGCCCCATTGATGTGGGGATGCTTGCGTTGTAATGGTACGACCCTATTTTCCCAAGGTTCTTCATATGGTAGGGTAGAGAGATGTGTGGATCATGCTTCCATTTGTGCATAAGTAGGAGAAAGACATGTGATATCAGTGGTTATATACTGCAATTCTTGTACAGTTATGGGATTTGCGGTCTCAAAAGCTAAGCACCATGTAACAGTACAGATATATTTTCAACAGATCGCCCCGAAAAACCTCGTGCCCTATTCTCCCCACAAAGACCACTCAAGTCTCAATAGACTAGCACTGTGCTTCGAGAAATATCGAATAGTATTACTTGGCTTGACGATCTTTGAACATCTCCTTGGGATTCTGGGAAATAGCGTTAAACTAGGCCATTCAAAGCAAGGAGATACCCTTACGAGGCGACACTTTGCGACAATGTCCTTCACCCTCTCTAGCACCTTCTCGCGTTTGAACGGTCGAGAGATCTAATGACCACGATTTCAATATGTATTAGGCCATAGGTAGCGGACACCACGAGGCGGGAGAAACGAGCAAACATACATTTTCGTCGCCGATGAAATCGCGAATTTTCTTGTGCACCTGGTTTCGGTTCTCAGATATGCGATATCTGGTGAAAGCTTTGATGATGTCCTCGTCTGTCACGACTTTATCTTTCTTTTGTCGGATCACCCAGTGAAGACTTTCCATTCCGAGTGTCAAATCTGCAGACACAACGGTTCAGCCACTGTGAAGGGTTGACGGGGGTGGTGGTGTTAGCGTCAGCTCACCAGCGATATACGCCATCAAAACTCGGGCAGCGGCAGGTGTCGTCTCTACGATGTCATCCAAATACCCCAATGCGCCTGTAATGACAGGCCCGACCATGGTGATGGGGTTGAGGGCAGCGCCCACTATGGTCTCGATAATGCGAGATGGGTTGTTATCTGGCCCTGGGGAACCATCTAGAACTGGAAAGATAGCCGGATCGATGAAGAGCTGGCGAACCATCGTGCGCATGTTTGCGCCAATCAGGATCTAGCAGATAGGGTTTGGTTGGTTGGTTTGGGCAAATATGGCTACAACAAGTATCATAAATATGAACACTGACTTCTTCAGGGTCCTGTTGATCACTAGTCGTTAGTAGGATTCAACCACGGCGTGAAAGAGGTATGGGCACACACGTTGAGATTCCATATATGCACCACATCGGAATGTATACCGCTGAGAACCTTGAGCATAGAGATTTTACGCACTGTTTTCATTGGTACCATGGACGTGAAAATCCCCAACCTGTACACTGGATTTAAAGATTAGCTTGTGGATAATATGATTTAGAGTGCCAAATTCTCACAGTTCTTTCCCGCCCTAAAACGAGTAGACAGTAGGTTCGGGCGGATCATCATTTTGGTGAAAGGCGAAAGGCACAAGTACCTACCGTAACGACAAGCTCACTTTGAGGTCGACATCAATCTGGATAAGAACGGTTGATGAGAATCCAGCTCTGGACAAACGTAACAGTCAACTTCATACCATCTGCGCTTGCGCCCATAAAATATTAAGCGTCTCTGAATCGGTGAGCATCGACTTTGTCAGTTCGACCAACTTGACGATCGTCTGTGGCTCTGAGACAACGTCAGCTTATTGGTGTCAAGAGAAACGTTGGAGAGACTGACGTTTGTTCGAAACCGCACAATAATTCGACCATGCTCGCGGAATCCTTTGGGACTGGAGGACTTCGACACATGAAGTTGTAAATCTTATCTCAGACGTGGCAACACATTCCGCTTTAGCTTTGGCCGTAGCAGCTTTGCTATCCATTCCACCTTTAACGTAAGCCTTCTTGAGGCGGAGTTGTTCGTGGAGGTGGAGTCTGTCCAGTTTTGTAAAGACCACGATTAACGGGACTGCAAATAGACATGAGGAAGACTATTTCCAAGCAAAGATATAGACACACCTGTGTTTTTCATGCTTAATAAGGATTCAAGTAGGGCGATATCTCCGCCTTCAAGCACACGCTCCCCACTGATGGGAATCTCGACACAATACCTTGGGGGTGACAATAAAGATGGTGATCACAATGTCCACCGGGAACGCGTACCATATCGCATGAAGTTGCTCTGCAAACGGTCTACCCTTGCGATCATGTATGAAATTCGTGACAAGCTTTAGATTCGCGTCAGAGCCTGCTTCGAGGCCTTTGCTATCGTGCAGGATCAGGGACTGGTTGTTCGACGACAGGATAGGGTGATTGATGTCGTGCTCGCCGACCTGTAGACGATGGTGAGTGCATCAGCCGTTTCCAGTATCTCTGGTGTGTGTGTGTGTGAATAGCGCGCACCTCGTAATCGTTCACCTGACAGTCCTGAGCCTCCAACTCAAAGTCGAACACCTCGGTCACGAGCGTTGATTTACCTGAGCCTGTTTTACCGATTAGAAGAATTCTGAACGCTTCGCATTCTTTGGTAGCATCAGCAAAATAAGAGCGGAACTCCTCATCCTCCGCGGTAACACTACTAGCATCGGATAGGGGAGTCTGCATTACTTGCTCTCGTCGAGAACTGGGACTGTACAGACAAGATCGTCAAGATAACAAGATCGATAATCAGTATCAACGGAATTATGATAAAGGACACTGGCCTTAAATAGGACTATATAATAGCGCTCAAAGTGAAGGACCGGCGCTTTTACGGCGCCCTTCGGCGTCAGGAGTGTCGTTTTTTTCAACATAGCGATAAGCGCGCAAAGCAGAAAGGTCGAATCAGGGCCTACGTAAGCGATGAACGCCTCGTGTAGTCTACAGGCAGTAGCACGGACAAGAAATGACAGTGTCCACAACTGGAGCTGGTCGTTCCAGATAGTCGTCTTTAACCCATGGGCAAACTTCGCGTGCGCTTCGAATAGTACGTCGTCCGGCATTTATGCGACTTTGAAGCTCCTAAGAAAGGAAAACAAACTTGGCAGGTGTCCGCAGCCAAATCACGTCACATATGAAAGCCCCTTTCTGTCCGTACAAAGACGCGTCAGGTCTCAGCCAGTCGGAAGTGACCCCCACGCAGCCTGTACGCCGTCCCAAGCTCCACGAGCAGAATGCATCAGGCTCCACGAGTCACAGTCACAGTCCGAGGTGCGGCACACGCTGTTAAAGCACAGCACGGAGATGTTGAGAACGCCTGAGTCGCGAGGGCAGAATGATGAAAGCGCTCAGAGTCCGGAGGATGCAAGAATAGCCGTGTCGTGTCCATAATAAGCTGGTTGCTCTGCCACGGCGCGCGACGCGACGCGGATGGTCGGAATAACTACCCCTTCGCTCTCCCAAAGTACTGTAAATAAAAGTGCGGACGGAGCGTCATAGTTAACAGTTTTGAATAGTTTGAGGAAGTAGCGTTAGCTCACCCGCGATACAGGCCATTTAAAATATCTCGCAGCGGTAGATGTCGTCTCTACGGTGTCATCCAACGCGTCTTATAGCAATATGGTGGTAGGGTCTCGATGTAGTCCTGCAGCTGGAGCTGGTGGACAACTGTTCGCATGTTGACTTGGGTACTACATAAAAGTCACGGGGCGACCGACACGCACCTGAGTCATAGCATATGAGTCATGCACCTTTCCCCGTTACTACACCTCCAACCCCAATCCAGCAATAGCAGCACGCTGACCTGAAAGACATTGGTAGTGCAGAGTCAAATAAAGACCTCACTCTGCTATCGACAGTCATATCAAAATTCGGTCTGACGTAAAAAAGGAGAACATTGTAGGCACGGTGGGCAGCCACGTTACTAATGTGTTAGCAAGATACGGAGGTCATCAGCTGGGGGGTACTAATGTGTTGGCTCAGCGATGTGATGTCAGGTATGCTGGGACGAGGACTATAAAGTGCGTGAAGAACAAGTGGGATGGGCACTAAACAGAAGATACACGACAGCAATGGCGTCCCCAAAAATCGTACTCGTCACAGGCGGCAACAATGGCATCGGCTACGAGACCGTCAAGGCGTTGCTGCAGTCCGACAGAGCGTACCACGTCCTCCTCGGCAGTCGTTCACTCGACAAGGGCAAACTAGCTATCGACACCCTCCACCAGGAATGTCCAGAGCTGACCAACACGGTCGAAGCCGTCCAAGTCGACCTCACCAGCGACGAGTCCATCGAGAAGGCGTTCGAGCAGGTAAAGGCCAGTCCAGGGCACATAGACGTCCTCATCAACAACGCTGGTATGTGTTCGTCCCTCATTTGTGATGCATCCCGTCTGAAGTTGATGTCTCTCAGGGGCCGCCTATGATGGCCGATTTATGGATGGCAAAGTGTCGCTCCGCGATTGCTTCACGAAGGCCTACGAAGTGAACGTTGCCGGCACACAGGTCCTGACGTGGACATTCATGCCGCTCCTACTCAAATCCGCCGACCCCCGACTCATCTTCGTCGCCGGCCTCTCCCAGATCACGGCAGCAAGTGAGAAATACTTCCCCACGCCGCCTCAGCCAGCGGGGTGGCCGAAGGATATCGACTTTGAGACGATCGGGTACCGCTGCAGTAAGTGCGCGCTCAACATGCTGATGGTGGACTGGAACCACAAGTTGAAGGAGGACGGGGTGAAGGTGTGGGGTGTCGGGCCTGGGTTTCTGGCTACGAATCTGGGAAGCAAGCCGGAGAAGGTGAAGGCGATGGGGGCTGGGCATCCGAGTATTGGTGGGAAGATTCTTAGGAAAGTTGTGGAGGGGGAGAGGGATGCCGACGTGGGGAAGATTGTGGTCGAAGGCGGGATTGCGCCATTTTGAGGTGGGACGAGAGGGATGGTGTGTTTTCTTGGATGAAGTGGAGAGTGTATGAATAGCGTGCTGTTATCGCGTCCTCTTCCAAGAGCCACTTTCTTATATGACACACCGTTGTTGTATCCGTGACTTTGCTCAGTCTTGCAGGGACATACTGTGACAGCACTGAGACCTGGGACTCGGTAGCTAGGTCGCAAATGACATTTCCCTTCCCTAACTTAAGACAGCGTGTTTTCATTTCAGTACGTCAACATCACCTACGAGGACGAGGGAGATTGACTTTGATCCAGCGCTGGAAAAAGCTGAGGAATGTATTTTGATTGTTTGACGTGTCGTGACCGTAAGCGTAAGTTGTTGGCGTAAACTGTTATCACATTTTATGATCAGGTCGCAGAAGACTACAGTGTATGATATTCGAAGTGTAAATTGAGAGCTGAAAGACATTATCATTCAAGCAAGAAAGGTAACCGGAAGAGACCGCTCGGCAAACGCCGCGAACAACACCACACGGTCGCCATATCTCTTGGTCACCGTCAACGGCGTCGAGCACTGACTCCATCCTCTGCCCAACAAGGTGTACGACGTCTGCAAAGTCGAGTGAGGCCCATCTGACCCCCAACTGTTGAGCGTTGAGCTGTCGTGTAGTACATTGTCCGTGCGCACCATGAGCGAACCACTCTGCTTATATGGGCAACATATGCTAACCTGCATTTCTCCTTTGAAGAAAAACGTCACTGTCCAGTTGCAACCTGATTTGAATCCGAACGCTCCATCGCACGGGCCCAGTCAGCCTGCCGAAAGCGTCAAAGGCGTGTGTGTGCTGTAGAGACCTCGTTCCGGTGAATTGGGATCGATCGCAGGGTGGACGTTGACCAGGCTGTAAGTGTGTCTGCGATCTTTTGGCATTGAGATAGCGTCTGCGGCGGTTATTCGTGCGTCTGCTTCCATCTTTTCGAACAACGCTTCCGTGCTGAATCGGCTATAGTACACGCCTCACGCAGCCCCTAGCATTCGCTTGCACGTACCACGCCCCCTCCTCCCTCCCTTCTTGCTACTCAGCACCAAACACCCAGTCCTAAATCCATCCCAACCGCCCTCCCCATCGCTTCCTTGTTCTTGTTTTTCCTTTTGAATGTACGTCCCCCCACACGCTGCACTGGCAGTATCAGCCGTGATCGTGATCGCTGACCACTGATGGATGGCTTTTTTGGTTACAGACCAAGTCGCTGTATTACAGTAAAGTCTGAGAGATATCCTGCGTGTCCTGCATGTCTCTGCCCACCATGGACTCCATCCCCCCTCTCATCCCCCTTCCCGCAGCCCAAACGCCACCGCCCTCTCGTCCCCAGTCTCCCCCGTTCCCGAATCCGAACGCGCCCCCGCTCTCGGTGTCGAAGACGCCGTTCAGATCGCAAGGACAGGGACAGGGACAGGGGCGTAAAGCAGAACCCTCATCGATGCCTCCCAAAAGGCCTCCCAACCCCCTCTCGGACGCCGACATCGACCGCTTCGCCACGCTCTTCGCGCCGTCCCCGTCCCACCCCCACCCCCATTCCCGCTCGTCATCGCCCGCCCTTTTCAGGTCCGCTTCCCCTTTCACGTCCACGTCGGCGCCAGCCGCACCACCCCACGCCTCCATCTTCGCCCCGCCCCCGCCGAGCATCCCCCTCCCCCCGCCCTCGCATGCGCGCTCCCACTCCCGCGCGAGACAGCACCAGCGCACGCCGGCGGGCTCTGCAGACTCGGAGTTTGGCGCGTTTGTGTCGGTGCCGCCGTCCCAGGACCCGTTGTCGGTGGGGTTCGCGTCTGCGACGGGGGAGGGGTTTGGGGGGTTCGCGGTTGACGACGACGACGATACCGCTGATGCTCGTGGTCATAGTCGCGCCCGCGGCCGTCCCACCGCCGAGACCCAACAAAAGCAAAAGCACGACGACGCTCAAGCCAACGCCTCGACCGTCACACCCGACCCACCCACCTCCCCCGCCCTCCACAAACGCTCCAGCCTCGACTTCTTCGACGCCTTCACGGGCCACGCGAGGCGGGCGGCGGAGAACAGGCGGGGGGTGCTGGAGGAGCTGTTGGAGCATGAGGACGATCCGATGTATTGGGTGCGCGGCGCGGCCGCGTCGTCCCCGCCCCCGCCTGCGCCTCCAGCAGCAGCAGGACTATCGCAAGCAACGGCAACGGCAGCGGCGCAAGGGGAGGGACAGGGCGAGGCGGGAGACGCGGAATCAGGCCGAATGCGCGGAGATGGGGCTGGCAGCGCGGGGTTGGGCGGGGGGGAGGAGGTACGACGACGAAGGGCGGCGTCGCCTTCGCCTTTGCACCCGTCCTTCCCCCGCGTCGCGCGTCCGAGCCAGTCCCGGCTGTCCACGCCCACGACGTCAACGTCCCCTCCCCCGCCGTCTACATCTCCCCCTCCGCACGCGAGCGCGAGCGCGGCGACGGGTGCGCAGGCGAGCCCGCACAATACGTTCTCGAAGCTGTCCGCGAGCTGGATGTCCTCCTTCCTCTCCTCCTCGCGCACCTCTGCCGCCTCTGCCTCTGCCTCCTCCCCTTCATCATCAGCTGCGTCTGCGTCTGCGCCACACGTCGGCGCGTCGGCGCTCGAGGGCCTGTTCACTCGCGCAGGCGGGACGGTGGGTTCCTCGTCCGCGTTCGCCTCGCACGGCGCCCACCACGGCTACGGCGGCGTAGGCTCACAAAGCCTGCACGGCTACCCCACCCCGCAGATCACACACACGACGCCCTTCGCCCCGCCGCGGTTCTTCCCGCCGAGCGGTGCGCCGGGGTATGGGGGGGGTGACGGGAAGGACGGGAAAGGGGGCGAGGGGGAGGGAGACGAGTTTGGGTTCGCGGATGCGAGGAGCGTGAGGCTGGAGGGGAGGAGGGAGGTGACGGTGGGTGTGCTGTGGAGCGGGCTTGCTGATCTGGTGCGTTTTGATGTGTGCATCTTAGGAGGTGGATGGGGCTGATTTATTGGTTTTGGACTTTGTTGTGGAATGAATTTAAATTTTTCACTGTCTGCAACATCATCGCGTCGTATCGCATACACAAACACGCGCGCACCAGCTCCTCCCGCACCTCCCTGTGCTCTCGCGCCTCTCCCGTACATGGACGCTCCTGTACAGCCTGGACCAACACGGGATATCGCTGAACACGCTGTACACGCGGTGTGAGACGCAGCTGGTGCCTCTTCGGGGACCTGTGGGGGCGGGGACGAAAGGGGCGGTGGTGGTGGTGAGAGACGCGGGTGAGAATGTGTTTGGGGCGTGGATTGGGGAGGGGGTGAGGAGGAGTAGGGGGGCTTATTATGGGAGTGGGGAGTCGTGAGTGCTGTTTTTTAATATTTTTGTGTTGGACGCGTTTTTGGCTATGATGTGATTCCGGTGCTCGTTCTGGGATTGGTGCTTGCGCTGATGCCTAACTCGCTCGCTAGCCACTAACGCTGACACGGAACAGATTCCTGTGGCGGTACTCGAGCGCAGACGACAAGGTGGATGTGTACGGGTGGACTGGGAGGAACGAGTATGTGGCGCTGTGCGATAACGAGTACATCTCGTTTGGTGGCGGGTGAGTGGACCGGGTGTCGGACCGGGGAGTGCTTGCTAACGGAAGCAGGGACGGGGAGTACGGGCTGTACGTGGACTGTACGCTGCTGGAAGGCTCGAGTGCGTGCTGTGCTACCTTTGAGAACGAGCCGTTGTGTGGAGGGAAGCGGAAGGGCGGGAAGAGCGTGCCGTTTGAGTGTGTTGGGCTGGAGGTGTGGGGAATAGGACCGACGTGACACGTGGTAGAGGTGTGTGTAGAGCTGGACGTGACACGTGGATGAGGTGTGTGAATAGGACCGACGTGACACGTGGTAGAGGTGTGTGTAGAGCTGGGAATAGCACCGACGTGTAGCACCGACGTGACACGTGGTAGATAGTCTAGACAGTTGGCAGTGTCTCAAAAAAGAGCGTCTCTCTCTCTCTGACCAAGCAAAGAAAAGAAAAGATGAGCTCAAAGGCGAGCGACGCAGCGACAGGTGCGTGTATCCGCCATCTCATCTCCGTTTTATGTAAGAGCGCAGCTCCTCGAGGCAGATCAAATTCATTGGCATCCTTTGCCTTCTTTGCTCCAGCCTCTTTCCTCCCTTCTCTCTCTTTCTCTGCATGTCCTCTACTTCTCCGTCTGTCCAGGCGTCGACGTCTCCCTCGTCGACGCCCGCTTCCGGTACTGCTGCCTCTTCTTCCTCCTCCTCCTCCTCCTCCCTCTCCAGTACTGACTCCTCCCCTTCCTCTTCAGATTCTGCACCCCCCTCAACCACTCCCACCCCTACATCCACCACTCCCTCCTCTTCTCCTCCCTCCTCCACCCCCCCCACCTCCACCACTCCCTCCTCTTCTCCCACCACATCGACCACATCGACCTCTCCCTCTCCCTCAAACTCTCCTACTTCGTCCCCACCCTCCACCTCGCCTACCAGCACCAGCACCACCACCCCCTCCCACTCCACCACCGCCGTCTCCTCCTTCACCACTCTGTAAGCTCTTTTTCTCATCTCTCCATGTCCCTCTCTCACGCACACCCCATACAGCTCCACAGCACCAGGCGGCTCTACCTACGTCATCACCTCAGTCATACAGACTGTCATCCCCTACACCCCTCCCAACACCCTTTCCGCATCCTCCACCTCCCACACTCCCGCCATCGTCGGCGGCGTCGTGGGCGGTGTAGGCGGTCTCGCCCTCATCCTCCTCCTCCTCTTCTGCATCCGCAGGCGTGTCAAGAAGGACGAGTTTGATGGCGACTTTGATCCAGATAGGGTCATTGGCCATTCAGGTGGAGGCGGCACCTTGCCCCAGATCGACCTGGCAGAGGGCGATGCCGAGGGCGGAGGGCACAATGTCACCCCTTATCCCTACCACGGCGCTTCAGCTGGAGGCAGTGCAGCGGCCTAGCATGCAGCAGTATCAGTACGGCGACTCTCCCTACGTCGGTGCACCCGCTTTGCCACCCGGTGCTGCAGGAGCCGTACCGGACCGCACAACGAGTCCCCTCAGCTCTCCCTCCCACTACCCCACCTCAGAGCCACACCTACTACCCCCAGTCCACTTCCGACGCTTCCGGCTACTACCCATACCGCCAGCCCATGATGCCGTCCCAGCAGATCGGCGGCGTCTTGGCTCCCGGCAGCGCTTATTCTCACGGCCATTCTCCGCCGGAGAGTGTCAGCGGCCGTTCGGGGTCGGCTAGGGAGGCCAAGGAGAGGGAGGCCGCGGCTAGGTTTGGAGGCGGACGGGGCGGTCTTGGGTTGGCGACGCAGCACGAGGGCGAGGATGCCGACGGCGTCGTCGTTCATCGCGATGGAGGGAGGGTGGATGACGTGAACCCGAGGGAGATTCCGCCCACGTATGATTCGATCCCGGCTGATGGGCGTTGAGGGGGCGGCGAGTGAAGAAGGCGGCGAGTGAAGAAGGAGGGGGGTATAGAAAGGTGTTTGAAAAAGGATGGATGAGAGGGCTGTTTTGGATTTTGGATTCTTGGACAGTTTTGTGTTGTTGTCGATGTTGTGAGGATTCCCTTCACCGTTTCTTTCCCCTATGCACTTCTTCCTTCTACTCCCAATGTTATAGCCTCTTTTAATAACCCCCTTTCTTCGTTCCCTGTTCATCCCTCACCCTCTATCCTACTTCCAAAACCCAAACTCATACCAAACTCTGGACTTTTCCAAAGGTAACGCTCTAGAAACCCCATGTCGTATGTAGCCCCTCACCCAATTCTTGATCTCGATTCCCTATTCCTGGTGTCGTGGGTCGTCGGTCGTGCGAAAGCCCAACTCGAACGCGCTAGACGTGCGCTATTCGAGGTGGATGTGGTTCGGCTGCGAAAAGGTAAAGACGCGATGAAGCCAGGATGCGAAAACGACATTATGGAATGGACGAACGAGTGGGCCGGGCGGGCGAAGCGAGGGTTGAGTGCAGAGGGAGGGGAGTAGAATCCTTGATGGATTTCTGCGATTCTGCCGGTGTTGCCATTTTGCGTCTTGCGTCTTGCGTTTGGTGTGGATGGGTGCGAGGTGATGATATCATATGTCGTATGGCGTGTTGGGAGGGGGTGGATGGGCTGGGCTGGGCTGGACTCGTTTTTCTCTTTTTGCCTCGAACTTACTCCTGACTGACTCCTTTCCCGGTGACGTCCCCCATCTCCCCTTTTTTGACGTCTCCCAACCGTTTCAAAGTGAACTGTAACCCGTCACGATACGCATCTCATCGCTCGTCACGCCATGAACCATCGACGGCATCGTACATACAACCAGTCCATGTGTTTTGCTTGTTATTTTTTTTTTTTTTCACTTTGTTATGTTTTTATGTTTGTAGACTTTTTCGTTTATCTTTGTCTTTTCCTTCGTCTATGAGTGTTAATTTGAATCTGAATGCTCATGCTCGTATTTATCGTCTAGTCGATAGAGAGCGTGTCAGAGGATATGACGTGGACTGTCATGAATTGCTAATCGCTGGCCTGTGGTGTCAATGGTATATATATGGTGTAGAGAGACGGAGGACACTGGACTCGGTGGGTGCGTGAAACTGGAAGTGCCTCTGGACGTGGTCTTTTAGTCTTTAGGTATCTAGGTATTCAATGTCATTGTCATTGTCATGTCCTTCGCGTTGGCGGTGGGCGCAAAAGTGATTCAATATCTTATCCCCATTCTCGCACATTCACAATCTCACAATCTCACATTCTCACAACTGCATGATGGCAGCGCACGGCGCACACTTTGAATCGCACCCGAACCAGCTCTGGTCGCGGTCGCGGTTGGGGTTGGGGTTGGGGAAAGGCGGGTGAACCCCCCTCCTCCCACGGTGGATGGTGGATGCATCCCATCGAGAGTGCCCCCCGCGACTGGTACTGGCCCCGGACGATCGCCGTAATCTCTACCCCAGACCCCTACCGCCTCATCGCGGGCGGGGCGGGCCATCGTCGACGTGGATGCAGATGCTCGGTCCTGCCAGGGGTCTCGATGCAAGTCGGAAGCCGCAGCGCAAGAGAGCCGCAAACGTAAGCTGGCACTCGAGGAAACTCAAAAGAAGAACCTTGAGGACTGCGAGCGACGAAAGGCGACCGTCATGGTGACACCGAAGAAACGAGCGGGGCGAGAAAGGAACGCGAGGGAGGACGCAGCATTAAATTATTTAGAAAGAAAGAAGAAAAAACACTTGAAGATGGTCGTCAAATGAGTTGATTGAAGAACACCAAAGAGAAGAAAAACTTTCGGATGTGGGGAATTGAACCCTGGGCTGCCGCGATCGCGCATTAGGTCATTCGGGAGAAGCAACGGGAGGATGAGTGTTTAATCATGATGGGCGCGAGAGTAGAGTACCAGAGGTTCAAAGATTCTCTGTTCGGTCGAATTCAGATCAGATTCAAAATTAGATACAAACTACGTGATGTCAACACATGACATTGGAACTTTATTCTGTAATGTTACGAAACTACAGATAATGGATCATCAACGTTAATCTATTACTTAAAACCTAAAACCTGTGAGGCAACGATAAACTATAACAAAAACTAAACCTATCTCCTTCTGCACTTGCAGGGAGTAAGGGTCCAATGAGCTTTGAGGTCGACAGACGCTAGAAATATAGCGAGTAGAGGACTTTGAGAGGTAAGCTTCAAAGGTTCTTGTTGAGGAGTAAAGCGGGTAAATTCAGTAATAGAAAGCTAAGGAGCTATACATGAATAGGCACGTCTTTATATAGAGAACTGTCCGTTCCTCAGACCGAAAGGAGAATATACGAAAAGTGGTCTGAGGAATTAATCAACCAATAGGAAAAAGGGAGAGTAACTATCGTACGACTTCTGACTTGATTAATCAGCAGGTGAGAGACTTGTACTAATAATAGAAGATTGTTACGCGTGGTCAGGAACCGTATCCTCATGATGAGGTACGATTCTAGATAAGGCGTTTATTAGTATTACCAGGCTTTACTGGGGCTTGGAGCTGGTTGGCGAGATGTCTACTACCAGTCCCTACCCAGTGTGCTGGCTAGCTGGGAGCGATGCCCAGTCTCTGATCTGTGATATAAAGTGGTAGCGATGGTTAAGAAAGCCTGTGAGGGCTATGAGAAGTAAGATGGCAAAGGATACCTCTAGCCCTAGAGCCAGAGGTGTAACGGGAAAAGCGTTCGAGAACCAAGACATAACAAAGATAAGAAAATAGTAAAACGGTCCTTACATTACCCCCCCCTTTTATATTCTTGTCCCAAGAATCTTAGCGCCGCAGTCCGTGAAGCGGTTTGTGATCCAGTCGAAAAGGCGGGGTTTTTCGGTTGTTGTAGTGAAATTTTCGTATGGACGAAATCGTAAAGCGGCAGAGGCGATGACACGTGGGGCGGCAGGGTGTTTGCGGTGGAAGGTGGCAATAAGTGAAGGGGAATTTTTCAAATGGTGGTCGGGTTCCCACGTCCTCTCTGTGATCGGGTATCCCTTCCAATGGACGAAGTAATCGAGCTTAGCCCCTTTGAGTTTAGTGGGCCGAGAAGCAATGATTTCTTCGGCTTCGTATTCGGCTGCGCCATCAACTTGGATCGGCGGAGGTTTCGAGGTACGAGGTTGATTAGGAAACTCCGGCGTGTGATACGGCGATAAGAGGATTTCGTTGAATACGGGATGGATCGCCTTCCAGGATCTAGGGACGTCAAGGAGATAAGCGGATGGGCCGACTTTTGCCTTTACCGTAAACGGGCCAAATCGCTTGTCATCTAACTTCTTCATCGGTCTATCGGTGGAGATATGAGTTCCTTCTAACCACACCTTATCCCCTTTGTGATACTCCCGTGCTTCCGTGCGTTTTCGGTCATAGTACTTTTTGAGGTTTTGATTAGCGAGTAATAATGATTGCCTAGTTTGCTCGTGCAGTTTTGTCATAGAGGTTGCAAAATCTTCGGCAGCCTGCGAACGTCCGGAAGGCTTCTGACCGGTCCCTTTGCGAGGGTGAGAACCATAATTTACGAAGAAGGGGGTCTGATTGGTCGCAGAGTGGAGATGATTGTTGTACGTGAATTCGGCAATGGCTAGCCAATCAGCCCAGTCGTCTTGTCGGTGATTAATGAACGTGCGTAGGTAGTGTTCTAGGTCTTGATTGATTCGTTCGGATTGCCCATCAGTTTGGGGGTGGTAACCTGTTGACAGGCCGGGTTCGATCCCAAGGGTCTGATAGAAGTCCTTGGTGAAGTTCGACATGAATTGAGGTCCTCTATCTGATATAATTTTTTCCGGGATGCCGTGTAGTCGTATAACCGAATCTCGTAGTTGTTTGGCGTAGCCTAACGAATCAAGAGTAACGTGCGTTGGTACGAAGTGAGCCATTTTCGAGAATCTGTCAACAAAAACCTGGATAGCGTCGTATCCGTTTGACTCTGGTAATGCTCCGATGAGATCCGTTGTGATTATCTGCCAAGGACGATCAGGGATCAGATTTGGATGGAGGGGAGCATGCGGTTTTTGACGATGCGACTTTGTTCTCTGACATATCTCGCATCCTGCGACATATTTCCTGATATCTCTCCTGAGGCTAGGCCACCAGAATGATCGGTTTACTCCTTCGTGCGTCTTTCTTTCTCCTGGGTGTCCGCTGAGGCTCGTGTCATGTTCTTCTTCGATAATACGTGCCCTCAACTTTGGATCTTGGGGTACGTAGATTTTGTTTTTGAAGGACCCTAACGTCAACTCGTCTTCTTTCTCATTTCCTATCCAGACGATTCCGTCTCGTTTCTTCCAAACCTTTGGATCTTCTTTCAACTTCCTTACTACGTAATCGTCTAGTTTGTGCTGCGAAGCTAGCAGCTCGTCCAGGTAGTGTTCTTCTAACACGTCCTCCATAGTATAAATGTTTGCTTCCGCGAGCTGAGGTAGAAGGACCTGTCCTTCGTTGTCTCTCTCGCCTCTCGGATGGTCTACTCTTCGGCTAAGTAGGTCCGCTTTCGTGTTCGCCGAGCCTTTCACATGCTCTAGCTTGAAATCGTATCTCGCTAGTGTGTCCATCCACCTAGCTTGTCGTCTGTTTACCTTCTGGGGGTCTCGGAAGTAGGTGAGGTTTTGATGGTCGGTGAATATGGTGAACTGGTGTTTAGCTCCCATGAGGAGGTGTCGCCATTCTTCTAATGCATGCATTACCGCTAGCATCTCTTTATCCCAGATAGCGTAATTTCTCTCTGCAGGGTTCATCGATTTTGACAGGAATGCGACCGGTCTCCATTTCCCTTCTTGCTGCTGGGATAACACTGCTCCCGTGGCGTAGTTGGAGGCATCACATTCAACTTTGAATGGATCCTCGTCGTTAGGGATTGCGAGTGTGGGCGAAGTGGTGATTGTCTTTTTGAGAACGTCGAACGCTCGTTGTTGGTCTTCAGCCCACTCCCAGTCTACCTTTCCGGTGAGAATCGTCAGCGGTTTGGCAATCTTTCCGTAGTCTCTGATGAATCGTCTGTAAAAGTTTGAAAACCCTAGGAATGACTGTAACTCCTTCTTTGTTTGTGGTATCGGCCATTCTGCAACTGCCTGTACTTTTAGCGGGTCCATACAAATCGTATCATGGGAGATGATCATTCCCAGATATTCGACTTCCTTCTTCTCAAACTCGCATTTCTCTGGCTTGAGATATAATTGATTGTCTGCGAGTATCTGAAGAACTTTGGATACGATCTTCCTGTGTTCTTCTAACGAGTCGGTGAATATCATGATGTCGTCGAGGTATACGATAACTGATCCTTCGTTGATTAGGTCTCTGAGAAGTCGGTCCATCATTGTTTGAAAGGTGGCTGGGGAGTTCGTGAGTCCGAAGAACATAACTAGAGGTTCGAACAGTCCTCTGTTAGTTCTGAAGGCGGCCTTGTGCTCATCTCCTTCTTTGATCCGAACATTATTATATCCCCAACGGACATCCAGCTTGGTGAAGAATCTCGCTCCTTTGAGTCGGTTTATCAATTCTGAAATGAGGGGTAACGTATATCGGTTTTTAATCGTAAGTGCGTTGAGTTTCCGATAGTCTTGTACCGGTCTGAGAGATCCGTCTTTTTTCTTGATAAAGAAGAACGGGGATGCGTAAGGGGATTTCGATACTCTGATCCTCCCTGTCTCCAGGTTTTCTTTCAAGAATTCGTCAAGATGAATTTGTTCGTCTCGGTTAAGTGGATACGTTTTACAGTCTAGACCTTTGGCTTCTGGTAGGAGTTCAATTGCGTGGTCCCAGACTCGTCGTGGGGGTAGTTTGTCAAATGACGCTTTTGTGAATACTGGCTCGAAATGATGATAAAACGGGGGAACGACGTCTCTGAATGTGAGTGTTGACTTTGCTCGTTCTGATTCTTCCGCAATCTGTTGGCTTTTGGTCTGAGATACGTTGCTTTCGACGGAAATTTTGTCAATCCTGCTCTGTAAGTCTACAGCGATGACTCTATCTCCGTCTTCAGGGTGATACTCCGTATCAGAAGGGTACGTGATGGTGTTTGTCTGCCAGTTGATGTTGGGATTTGTGCGTCGTAGCCAGTCGTGTCCTAATAAAATTCTGGCCTCTCTTTGTCCAGTGACCAGGAAGTCCATTAATTCCGTGCGACCTGCCACAGTTAGGCGAAGTGTCACATATTCCGTTAAAGGTCCAGTGCGATTCTTGGTTCCATCGGCGTTTGAGACAATAACACGAGTTGGCAGTGGTTTTGTGGAAATGTTGTGTTGCCGAACAAAGGTTTCGTCAATGATAGAATCTGTGCATCCTGAATCTATCAAAACTAGTATGACATGCGTCTGGTGATCGTCGATAGTGGATAATTGACATTGTAGCGAGAGTTTGCGTTGATGAGATGGGGGGAGGGATGCGAAGTCTTTGATGACATTCAATTGCTCTACGATATACTCTTCATCGTGTTGCTTGAGTAAATTGATTGTATCCGTCGTGATGTGTGGGTAACACTGGGGTGAGGCCCAGTTCCGAACCAATGCTTTGGCTCTTTCTTCTTTCTGGTCTTTAATTCGTCGAGCCAACCATTCCGCTGAATGTGGCTT